GGGTGGGAAAGAGAGAGGCCTCCTCTTAGCCACCAACCTTGATGACCCAATCCCAGCTTTGGACCAGCACTGGATTGAGGTGCCAACTCCTGGCAAGGCATGATGGTGAGGTAGAACGAGTAGTAGATTTGCGATCAGAGGACTCAAATTCAAATCTTGCCTTTGTCACTTACTAGCTGTGTGACTTTAGACAAGTCTCTGACCCTCTGTGGGCCTTAGTTTCTTCAATTTAAAAATGAGGGGGCTGGACCCCATGGCCTTTAAGGTCCTTTCCAACTCTAAATCTGTGATCTCTGATCTTAAGTTTGGGTCCATCAACCAACAAACATTTATTAAGTTCCTACTATCTACAAGGCAGTGTCTAGATTTATGAAGACAAAAGTGAAACAAGGTAACAGAGCAGTGAAGTCCCCTGCAAGGGGTTAGGAGGAAGGAAGGAGGAGTAAAAGTGAGGTTCTGAGGTCCTCTGGCCTGCCCCCACCCCAGCACAGGCACGTCTTCCTGGGTGGCCCCTTTTCCTCTGCTGAGTTATGTATATGGAAGCTGAGGACTGTCTGCAGTGGGATTCCTAGTGGCATTAAGTTGTTTTCTGGGCAGCACTGAAATCATTAGGTGTCAGGGTCCTCATCGGCTTTGTTGTTGCTGGCTAATAAAGCTTTTGTTCAATTCATCATGTGTTTATCACTAAGTGAGTTTTTTTTCCCAATTTGAATGATTAAATATATATGGCTCCTTTGTTGACTATTATTAGTGCTTCTTGATACTCTTTTAAAAAAAAGAAAAACACTTTCCCGATGAAGGAAGCCTGTGAAGAAGATTTTTTTCCCTCACTGTTATATTAACACACCTTCTCCCCAAAGTCACATAGCAGGCAACGCTTTAACGCACACATAATTCAGTACTCTGTTATCCCTTGTTTTCAGACAGCCTTGAAATCTCTCATTTGTCTCTGGAGCTTAGGGAGGCATCTTGGGAGTCAGCACCCATGACGGAGAGTTTCGCCATCTGCCTTCCTTCCCCATCCTTCCTTTCTCCCCTCATCAAACCTTAGCATATCTGCAATTAAAGAAGCATGGAGATTAACTGCCGAGAAAGCAGAGGGCTTTCGCTATCCCTCTCGATTTTTATTTGCTATTCTCAGCACATTGATTTTCAAAGAAAAAATAAACACAGAAAAAGCCAACACAAGGAAGGAGGAGAATTTCCCCAATTCATATGTAATCCACAAGGGTCATTTTGTTTGACTCAGTTTAGTTTTCTAACAGATGGCTGGCGGAGACGGATACTGATGGCGAATCGTGTTTGAAAAAGAAATTGGATTCAGTCCAGTTCAACTCTTATAAAACCAGAAACATTTATTAAGCATCTACTCTATACCATGTGCCAGATTCTGGGGATACAGCTACAAAAATGAACCAAGTCTTGGCTTCAAGGAGTTTAGCTTCTAATGAGGAGAGAGTTCAGTTGTTTTTCAGTCATGTCCAATTCTTCCTGACCTTATTTGGGATTTGCTTGGCAAAGATACTGGAGTGGTTTGCCATTTCCTTCTCCAGCTCATTTTACAGACGAGGAAACTGAGGCAAACAGGGGTAAGTGATCTGCCCAGGTTACACAGATATTAAGTGTGTGAAGTCGCATTTGAACCCAGGAAGATGAGTCTTCCTGACCTCAGGCCCAGCACTCTATCACTATGCCACCTAGCTGCACAATATATGGAGAAGCTGATTTTTTTTAATGAGGTAATGGGGAAGCATGGGCAGGAGTAATTGGAGGGATCGAGAAGGTCTTTGTATAGATTTGTAGGGTTTGAACTGAGTTTTAAGTAAGTAGAGGATTCTACCAGGCCAAGAGAGGAGGAGAATATTATGAAGCACTTACGTGCCAGCAATGAAGGCAAGGGAGGAAAGGCAAAAGTGAAAGTCCCAACCCTCCTAGAGCTTCCATTCTACCTAAGGCAATAAGAACAGAGAAGCAAATGCAAAACACATACAAGTAAACACGAAGAAACCGAGGTGGCGTTTGGGAGGGCAGTGTGTCGACTCAAGTGGGGGGGGGAGGCATGCGGCAAGTCTTCCTTTGGGGACAGTTGAATTCAGCTTTGAAGGGAGCAAGAACATTCTGGGCATGGTCATAGATATAAAGTCCTGGGCTGGCAACAACACAGAGGCCTGAGTTTGTACTTAATTGCTCTACATGGGGCAGCTAGGTGGCACAGTGAATAGAGCTCCGGCCTTGGAGTCAGGAGGACCTGAGTTCAAATGTGGCATCAGACACTTGATACTTACTAACTGTGTGACCCCGGGCAAGTCACTTAGCCTTGACTGCCTCACCCCCCCAAAAAATTGCTCTACATGATAGTGAAACCTATTCCCCTAAAACCTTGTAGTTTAGGCATTTTCCCCCCAAACTACATCAGCAAAGTGACTGCTTTTAATAATAATAAAGAGCATTTCTGTGGTGCTTTAGGAGTTCCAAAAATATTTACTCATGATAGCCTCAAAACAGCCCTGGGAAGTAATTGTTATTATTGTCTCCATTTCACAGATGAGGAAATTGAGGCAGAAAGAGGTTAGAGGGTTCCACAGCTAGTAAGTGACTGAGGTTGGGAATAGCAAAAAGACCAGTGTTTTACTAAAATTGCTTTACATTATAGTTTTACTCATTTTTGTACATAGATGAACTCACAGGTCAGAACCTCTTAGAAAAACTAGAGTAGTATTGTTTCCAGGTAGTGTTATTTCCATTTTGCAGGTGAGGAAACTGAGGCTGACAGGTTAAATGCTTTGCCCAGATGAATCCCAGGGATCGTATTCAGGCTTGAGGGACTCAATTGCTTAGCCCCTAGGAAGGTCACAAGGAGTACAAATGTCCTGTTTTCCTTTTCTGTGGCCCAATCCAGGAGACACCCCTAATCATTCTTCTCAGGCTTAGGGACTGTGGTTCTTTTTGGCAGTGAGTGTTATTGATGTCATCCAGCCCACACTTGGAGAGCAGGGCTGTTCTCGCTCATAGAACCCACAGGCTATAAATCCAAAGCATTAAAAAGTCTCTGAGAAGAGGGTTTAAAATAAACCTTCTTTTCACTAACATCCCTACTGTCAGGAGACCTAGGTGGCTTTGGGGTCATTTCTCAAACGATGAAAATAAAACAAGATGATTCCTGTAAATCAATCATTTTTTCTCACACCAGCCTCAGAAGGCTGAGCTGAAAATATCCACTGCTTGAGAATGCATTCCTTGGCAATGAGAGAGAGCATGGTCCTGTGCAAGGGATGCTGGATTCAGAGGCTGAGGCTCTGGATTCAATTCCTGTCTCTCTCCCTTGCTACCTGGGTAACTCTGAGTGAGTCACTAAGACCCCAAAACCACATTGTAGTCCTCAGTTATGTCTGTAAGAAGAGGGCAGTTGGACTAAGTAATATCTGAAGTCTTTTCTAACTCTAAATAGGTGAACCTGTGAAAAGGGGGGAAATGTTCAGTTCTTCTGAAATGATTATTTGTTGATGATAGATTCTAAGGATCCTGAGATGAGAAAGGAGGACCTGGGGTCATTTGGTCAATTCCTCTGCCACCAAAGGATACAAGGAAGGGGAGGGGTTATGGAAAGATTAGTGGCCGTGTTGTGGTCTGAGAGGTTGTGACCCCTCAAAGACTGAAGATGGGGGTTGTCTGGAATGAATTCACAGACTCAAGCATTCTTTAAGTCAAGTTGGCAAAAAGTTTATTGTCACGCTTTTCAGCAGGCAAGGATTCTTAAGGATCCTGCAACCTTAGAAGGGTACAGTTAAAGTTTATATAGGATAAAATACAATATAACACGAGCCAAATATGCTAACTAGGTGATTCAGGGTGGGATTAGGGAGTGGTTAAGGAGTGGTCAGTTCTTAAAAGAACATGCACTTCTTGTACCTACTGTGCAGGCGTTTTACCCAGAGTTCACTGGGAAAAGCCCACAAGGGGGGGGCCACATGGAGGTTTGGTTTTTAGTACTGCTATCTCACTATGTTAACTAGAGTTCAGGGTAATTGAGAGTTGTCCAGCCTGCCACCAATCAGTGTCTTGTTTGACAAAATAGATATGTAAGGAGTATACATATGTCTCAAGTCTAGAATACAGTTAATGAGGAGTCCAGGATGTAGATAATGAGGTTGGGCGGTAGTGTAGATAGTCCAGTGGGTAAGATTGTCTTTATGACCCAGTGCAAAGCCAGTTCAAACTAATAATTCCTTCCGGTGCTGTTTGTCACTGCACCAGGGAGAGAGATAAAGGTCTTGCTGGGGCCCACTCATGAGTAATTGCCGAGCACAGTGTCCTTGGGCTGGGGAGAAACCATCAGGGATAGTGTTTCTGAGGCTAGGGAGAAATTGGGGTCCAAGCACAAGCACCCAAACATAAGCACCCAAGCACCCCATCAGCCACACTGGAGTCAAAGAGTTCTGATGCTTGCCAGCCATGTGACCTCGGGAAATCACTGTAGTCTGTGGGCCCCAGTTTCCACATTTTGGTAACAATGGGTTGTGAATAGATGACTCCAAAGGTTCCTTTCTGCTCTAGTCTGTGACTCCAAGTCCTGTATTACAGATGAGGAAACTAGGCTCAAGGAGGTTAAATTCTTTGCCTAAGGTGACACAGCGCCTCCAGTCCCTTTGCCACACCGCCTCTCTAGTGGACCAGTAAAAAGAGGCAATATGGGGCCTCGAGGCAGAGGGAGTCTCTCTCCTCTAGGGCAGCATTAACTTGACTGTGAATTGGTACAGAGAAATCTTCTTGTAGCCCTCCAATCTCCTGTTTCTTTTTGGGTCTTCTTGGGAGCATCCTAGATTTAAATTCTGATTCTGCCCTCTTACCATTCAAGTGACCTTGGATGAGTCCCCTCATCTCTCTGTGCCTCAGTTTCCTTACCTGTAAAATGGAGAAGTTTTGACTAGATGCCTCTACATGTATGATCCTAGTGGAGACTGTGGTTTTAAATCAAGCCTTTCTTCCCATTCTCTTGTTAGGAGATCTTTCCATGTGTCAAGGACTTAACAAGTGAAATGTTCACAGACTTCCTGAAGCACCTTTGCCTGTGTGCAGATGACTTCTGGGAAATAGTGAAACGTGACAGATGGAGGCAAAAGTTTTTAAACCTCTTCCTGGCCTGTGATGCTGGAAAGGTAAGCTACCTGAGGACTCTCCTCTGGTCTCCAGACCCAGCTCTTTCCTATTCCTATGCCAGTGGATTGTAGGGTCACAGATTGAGAGCTAGAAGGAGGCTTAGAGCTAGTCTGAGCCCTTCATTTTACAGATGATGATATGTAGGCCCAGAGAGGTTAAGTGATTTGCCTAAGGTCCCACAGCTGGTAAGTAGCAGAGCCAGGCCATGAACCTGAATTCTCTGGCTCCACCTCCAGCATTCTTTCCACCATATTACCCTCCCTCTCTGGGATTATCAATTGCTTTCTCTTAATTTCTGGGCTGGCAGAGCACTTTTCCTAGGGGAAATGCATCCCAGGGAATGTGGGAAAGAACTGGAAACCAACGAGGGGAATGGCTGGATAAGCTGTAGCGTTAGGAATGTAAAAGAGTATTCCTATGACATAGAGGATGATGACGATGAGGAATTTGGGAAAATACAGGCAGATGGGAATGAAGAAAGGCAGAGGGACCTAAGCAGAAGTGGGAGAGTGCACTCAGGAGCAATAATGTGGATGAAAGGAACATAGAAAGGAAGTTAAACCCTGAGTAACTCTACTCACCAGTCTTTCTCTCAAAGAACAGATGAGATATACCTCTGTCCTTGTGGCAGACAGGTGGAGGACTCCTGGGGCAGAATGGTGGAAAATTGTCAATTGAATTGTCAGATGCGGTCCCTCTAAATGGGGTTTTTGCTGAACTGTTTTTCTTTGTCGTGACTGCGAATTCATTTCTGGGGAAGGCTGAGGAAGCACATTATATCCAGAAATCATTGACAGAAAAACCAAAGGCATCAATTAAACATACAGAGAAAAATGAGAGACCACTGGGGCTAGAAAGCATGCCTTCAGAGAGAGGCCAAGGAGAGTACAAATGTGTTTTTATCAGGAAAGGATTTGCAGGGTTGTGCTTTTGGAGGGCATCTGCGTCCCTTGAATACCAGATGGCCTTGGAATAGTTCCGATGCAAACGTCATGAATATAGCTTCTTGTTCTATGGACATGGCTGCATCCTGAGGAAAAACTAACAGGCAGATTCAGGCTTCCACCTCGTGGCGTCCAGGAAGAGATTTCCAGGGGGAGTCTCCGATGTGTTTGGCCTGTTCCCTCATTTGCACCTTCCTAGAAGCTCTCCATTGCTGGAGTTCTGGGACCTTATTTGGTGGTTTGCTCAGGGCCTCTCCAATGGCAAAAAGCAGTGCACCAAGAATGCTTCAGTAAAGGCTGAAGTGAGTCTTTCCAGACCATAGAATTGTCCCTTTGAAGGCTTCAGGTGCCTTCTTCAATTGCAGGAGACTAGGTAAAAGGTGATTCCCAGGTCCTACTCCTTCTGTTTCGGTACCTGTTAAAGAAGTAACGATACTGTAATTGTTTTTCTGCACTGGATTTGTGATTTCATTGGTTTGGATATAATAGACTCTGGCCTTCCTTTCCCAACGTACAGGTGTCCCAGTAGATGGGGTTCCCAGAACTAAGCTTGCTACAACTCTCCCACAGAGAGAGGAGCGGGGAGGGGATCTCCCTAAGAGGTTGGGGTGATTCTTCTGTCATGCTATTGTCTTGAAACTCTACCCCCCCATTCTGGCATGTTCCCTCCCACTGTTATCTTCCAGTAATTAGCACCCCAGTTCCATTTAATCAATCAACATTAATTAGTTTTTAGAAAGAGATATTCATTGCAAAAAAAAATATTTACTGCAAAATGTATATAGCAAGAACAGAAACTACAAACTTTTCTCCCCATCACCTGGTTGATACATACATTTTCCCCTTATACCTCTAAGGAGAGTGGGCTCACATAGAGAGTTTCTACACAGCCTTTCCCCTCCCCAACCCAGTTTCACTTCTGAATGAGACACGGCTGATAGACGAGTGAGTTTGTATCTCTGATGCTCCTGGCTGGGATCAAGCAAGTTGCTTGGGACTTATTTCTTTACCATGTCTTCCAAGAATTCTCAGCATGACCTCCAGCCCCCTTGACCTCTGGTGTCTCATCATTCTGACCTTTCCAAGCACAGGATGCCCTTCTCTGATCTGCTTCACCTAAAGGCAGGGAAGTATAGACACATCAGAGACAAAAGTATCAGTCGGGCTGTGTACCCTGCAGCCGCGTGGCCGTAGTGGGGAAATAAAGACTTGAGGCCTCTGTCCCCACTGAGGATGCCCCTGCCTACCTATGTGGGTTATGAAGAAAAAAAACGAATACTGTCCCTGCCCTCAAGGAGCTTAAATTCCAATGGGGGAGACAACATATAGGAATCAGAATAAGATTAAATATGGTGTAGAGGGAAGGTAATCTTAGAGAGGATGGTGCTGGGTATCTCAGACATCTCAGCATACACTCAGGAGCCACGGCTGAGCACAACTGCTTGTGAGATTATTTTCAAAGAATATCTTTTGGTGGCAGCTAGGTGGCGCAGTGGATAGAGCACTGGCCCTGAAGTCAGGAGGACCTGAGTTCAAATCCGGCCTCAGACCAAACACTTGACACTTACTAGCTGTGTTGTGTGACCCTGGGCAAGTCACTTAACCCCAATTGCCTAATAATAAAAAATAATAACTTTTGGCTGATGCAATTGTGTGTGTGTGTGTGTGTGTGTGTGTGTGTGTGTGTGTGTGTGTGAGAGAGAGAGAGAGAGAGAGAGCGCGCTGATCTGTTCTCCAGGCTGTTCTTTGCTTCAACATGCCCTGCTGAACCCCAGTCTGGAAGAGCGCAGGGAGACCTGGGTAATTCATACAGGCAGCAACAACTTGAGAACGATCCTACCTGTGGCGGTCGTTTGGTGAAGTAGAGCAGAGCTGGTTTGAGCCCTCATTTGCATTTGCTTGATGACAGAATAATGAGGCAGCCCTGAGTCTGTGCTGACCTCAGTCATTTGTCTTTGTCCCTACAGCCAGGTGTAAGGTGGATTGCAGGCAACTCCCAGATAGCAAGAAGGAGTTTTATTGCCATTTTTAAAAATCCCCTAGCCATTTGGATGCGATCCCGTCTGTTGGTCAGCCTGTCTTTACGGTTCCACATCTGGCACGTGTCAGGATTCCTCTTTCCCTGGGGTGGTTCTTTTCGCCATCACCAGTCATCCTCATCTATATCTGGTCACTGGACCCAGATGGCTCCAGAGGAGAGAGGGAGGCTGATGACTTTGCACAGTCCCGCCTCACTTAAATGCAATTCACTTGGCAAGTCATGACATCACCTTCCTGATGTCATGGCCCTCTTCTGAGAATGAAGGACAAACAACGACAGTCTTTCCACATCCTGAGTGGGGGCGACCCCTTGGTTGCAACACCAGCTCTTCTGCTCTAGGAAATATAGTATTCCAAGAACTACAATCCATCAACATAGCAGCTGCTAGGTCTTGTGTAATCCTTATTGTAGCTCTGTGATATTTAAATTGTGTTTTATTCTTGTTACTTCCAATGTTTTCTTCTTAACCTAGGATCTTTGAAACTTGGTTATAATGTTCCTGTAAGTTTTCCTCCTGAGATCTCTTTCAGGTGGTGATCAGTGGATTTTTTTTTCTATTTCTATATTGCCTCTTGTTCTAGAACTTCAGGGCAATTTTCCTTGATAGTTTCTTGTAATATTTTTATCAAGATTCTTTTTTTAATCATGATTTTCAGCTAGTCCAACTATTCTTATATTATTTCTCCTCAATCTGTTCTCCAGATCAGTTGTTTTTCTGATGAGATATTTTACTTTCTCACCTACTTTTTCATTCTTTTGGTTTTGTTTTATGGTTTCTTGGTGTCTTAGAATGTCCTTAGCTTCCTCTTGCCCAATTCTAGTTTTCAAGAAATTATTTTCTTCCTTAAGTTTTTGATTCTCTATTTCCAGTTGGTTGACTTTTTTTTTCATAATTTTCTTGATTTTCTTGGGTTGCTCTTATATTTTTTTCTAATTTTTCCTTGATCTATCTAATTTGATTCTTAAAGTCCTTTTTAAGTTCTTCCAAGAACTCTTTTTGTGCCTTGGACCATTTGATGTTTCTCATTGAAAAAGAAGTGGCTTTTTTTTTTAGCTCCTTTATCTTCCTCTGAATATGAACCCAGATCTTCTCTATCCCTATAGTAGCTATCAATGATTGGGTTCTTTCTCTTTTGCTTACTCATTTTTGTCTATTTTTAAATTTTTATTTTGTTTTTAGCAGCTATTATTGTAATCATGTTGTAGTCCCGAGGTCTGGGGGTTGATGCCCCAAGCCTCAGGTCCTTCTTACTGTTATTTTCTGAGGTCTGTCTCAGGGCCCAACCTTGGGCTCTCCTCTGCACGAAGTCACGGCCACGGCCTCCAGCCACCCTGGTCCGCAAATGATCTTGCTCCCTCTGGTGACTGCAAACCGCAGCTGTCCTCTCCACCCCAGAGCTGAAACCAGGGACTCTGCTCTCCTGTATGTGCCCACTGCCAGCAGGGCCACTGCCCCTCGCTACTCCACTCCCTTCCACCTTCTACTCAGCAGTCAGACCCCCACACTATCTTTGAGATGAAAATTTCTAAGGCCGAAGCTGCCGGTCAATTCAGCTGCCACCCGGGCTTGTTTGTGAATTCTGCAGTCAGCCTGGAGGTATTTGCACTTCACTCAGGTCAAACCTTGGCCCCTGGAGGTTGGGTCATTCCTGGGGTCTTCTCAAATTGTCTTAGGACAACTGCTTTACCCCGTATTTATTTCTGCTGCTCTGAGGTGATGTTCTGTCTTTTATTTTGTAAAGGAAATTTGGAGAGCTGAAAATTTTTCTGACCTACTCCGCCATCCTCCCAGAATCCTCTCCCAATCCCTTTAGTACTCACCAGTGGTATAGGGGAAGATGGGCTGTACACAAGAGTCATGGATTGTGGGTTCTACCAATTACTTCCTCAGTTGCCTCTCCTGTAAAATGGGGGAGTCAGACTGGATTGCCTCTGTGGTCCCTCTGCTCTCGCTCGGGTCTGCCTGCTCCCTGGGGTCTATTGCTTTCCCACACCCTCCTCCACTTCCCAAAGATTCTGTTATTCCCTACTAAACCTCTGCCCGGCTGCTGATGGTTGACCTCTTGCCTCTCCCCACACATCAAAGGGCTTCTAACCACCAAGTTTAGAGCAATGTTCCCATACTGACATGTTGCAGAAAAAGGTCTCTGCTATTGATACTTGAGGCCATCTGCACACTGTTCAGATTTCCATGTAGACTTCTGGCTCTAATGTGCCTAGACCCATAGTGTTAGGAGGGGATGCTAGAATGGTCAGTCTGGGGTAGGTAGCTCTGGTCTTCAGGTGCCACTTTTAATGAGGTTAAACTGTTAATGGGACATTGATACAATGGGAAAAGAAAGAAAAACCAGAAAAATGTAAGAAGCTTTCATAAAAGCTGGAGACTGAGAGGCTATTTAAAGCCTCCATAGGAAAGAGTATTCAGTTCACTAGGCATTTTCAAAGCACCTGTTTTATGAAGGGCACTGTGTTAGGTAGTGGGGATAAAGAGATTTTAAAATGACACACTCCCTGCTGTCCTGGAGTTTCTGTTCTGCTGGTGGGTGGAGAAGGGTTGAGGATGGATCATGGAATGTGAAATGTGCACAGATAAGAATAATGTCATAGCTAGCTTTTATTTATATAGGACTTTAAGGGTTTACAAAGCAGGCTTTCCATATATAATCTCATTAGATCCTCACAACCACCCTCTAAGGTAAGTTCTCTTATTATCCCCCTTTTACAGATAAAGGAACTGAAGTTGAGGGGCAATGGGATTTTCCCAGCCAGTTGGTAGGTGACTGAGACAGGATTTGACACCCCTCCCCACTCCTTCCTGATTCTAAGCCCATCACTCTATCCACTGCACCACCTACCTGCCAATGACGCTATTATCATGTGATGGGGCAAAGAAGAGCCAAAGTGTTCTAGGAAAAGGAATAATGAGAAACATCTTTCAACTGGAGGGAATCAGAGAAGGCTTCATGGTACGGGTGGCTCCTGAGCTGAGTCTTGGAGAAAAAGAATTATTCTAAAAGGTAGAAATGAGAGGGGAGTGAACCTCACACCTAGGGGACAGCCTATGAGAAGGCATAGCATTTGGGGTGGCCTGGTGAGTTTAAGGAACAGCTAACGCAGCAAATCAGCATTTCCACCCAGGGTGCTTACAAAGTCCTTATATAGCTTTAACCTTTACTAACTTTAGATGTACACATGATGGAAACACATGGCAAAGGGCATGAAAAGTGAATTCTTAAAGTTTTATGCATCAGTGCTGTTAACTTGCCTCAGTTAATTTCTATTTGTTTACTGAGTGGCAACTGAGAAATATTTTCAGCCAGTTGGAAAAGGGGTTTTGAAAAATGTGTCACAACTGATGGTGATTCTGTGGAGGGTTAGATCAAGCTTAGTATTTTAAAAATATTTTACAACAGAATTTTAAATTTAAAAAATTATAAATGCCGTCAAAATTTTAAGCATTTATATGCTTGTGTCATTTACAGTGTCTTTCTATCATTGTCATTTTAAAATTACTAAGGATGAAAGTTGCGCAAAAAATTTATAACCACCCTGCAAAATAATAGCAAAACTCAGGAGGTAATAATAGAAGGGGAAAGTCCATTCAAAATAATTACAGAAAGAGTAAACGTTTAGGAGTTAATCTCCTAAAGCACATTCAATACTCATATGTTTGTTTACAAAGCACTCCTTAAAGAAATAGAGCACAATTTAAATAGCTGGAGAATATTTGATGCTCATCGCTAGATGGTGCCCAGATAATAAAAGTGACAATACTCACAAAGTTAATTTCCAGATTTAGTGCCATGGCCATCAACTGTTTGAAGGACATGTTGCTAGGCTAGATAAAATAATTCCAAAATTGATTTGGAACAAAAGAACTAGGATAGCAAGGTAAACAATGAAAAAAAGGTAGGAATGAAGTGGGAATAGCTTTTCTAGACTTCAGCTATTATTATAAAGTAGGAATCATCCAAGCCATTTGGACTTGGGTTAAAAATAAATAAACAGATTAAAGGAAGGGACCGCCAAATGGCCCAATTTTGCTGGGATATCAGCCGTGTGAAAGGCAAGTAATATGAAATAAGGAAGGAAAGGTAGACTGGGGAAAGATGGTGAAAGGCTTTAGCGCCAGACTAGAGTCCATATTTTCTCCCATAGACAGAAGGGCGCCATTGAAGGTTTTTGAGCAAGTGACAGTAATTTCAGTTCAGTTTTTTTTTCCCCTTGTCCAACTGTTCATGACTACATTTGAGGTTTTCATGGTAGAGATACTGGTGTGATTTCCTTCTCCAGCTTATTTTACAGATGAGGAAACCAAGGCAAACAGGATTAAGTGACTTGTTTAGTCACACAGCTAGTAAATGTCTGAGGCTGGATTTGAATTCAAGAGGATGAGTCTTCCTGACTCCAGATCCAGCACTATGTCCACTGTGCCACCTAGTTGCCAAAGGAACAATAATGATAATACTAACATATGTGTGTGTGTGTGTGTACATATATATATATATATATATATATATATATATATATATATAATAGCTAGCATTCATATAACGCCTACTATGTGCCAGGCACTGGGCCAAGTGCTTTAGAAATATCTCATTTGAAGCTCACAACAACCCTGGGGGATAGATGCTGTTATTATCCCCTTTTACAGTTGAGGAAACTGAGGCAAATAGAGGTTAAGTGACGTTACCCAACATCACAAAGCTAGGAAGTGTCAGAGCCAAGTTTGGAACTCAGGTCTTCCTGACTGTAGGCTCAGAGCTGTATCTTTTACTACCACTGGCACCTGGTGGTCTCCTGATGCCCTTTTCTCTCCCCACCAAGAGGAAAGATACCTGATAAGTTTATGAGCAGAAAGGCATTTATAATAGCTAGCATTTATGCAGCCCTTTAAGGTTTGTATAGCACTTTATATACGTTATCTCATTTTATCCTCACAACAACCCTTAGAACTTAGTGCTGTTATTATAGATGAGGAAGCTGAGGCAGACAGAACTCAAATGACTTGCCCAGTTAGTAAGTGACTGAGGCAGGATTTGCATTCAGGACTTCCTGACTCCAGGCCCAGCGCTCCATTCGCTGCCGCATCAGCTACCTATAGAGTATTGGGTTTGGAAAGAACACTGAGTTTAACTTATAATTCAGATTTCCAAATGAGAGATGCCTAGGCAAGGGAAACATCTTAGTGCAGGAGACTCAATGATTTAGTCAATGAACATTTATTAAGCACCTACTGCATGTGAGGCACCATACTAAGCCCTGGGGATACATAGAAAGGCCCTGCCCTCAAGGAGCTCACTGTCTGAGGGGAGTATTAATCCACTGACTGCAAACATTTTGCCTAGATGGGGTTCCTGGACCGGGAGAGGACATTGACCTTGCTGGAAAACTTCTATGACAAAAGCCCGAAGATAGTTAAAAAGCTATTCCGTAACCCAAGATATTGTAAGTAAAACAATAGGTGGGGTAGCCAGTCAGGCCAAGATGGCATATTAATACCATCTCCAACCCTATTGTGATAGCACTGGTTCAAGGTCATGTTACCCCTACACAAATACTTTACCCCGCTCATTAGCTGCTTTGGTGGAAGCAAAGCTGTGACTAAGGCAGAACAATTGGGGCTTTCTCCTAGGGTGCAGAAATTTAGAAAACATTGTAATGCACGTTTGTTGTTGGGTTTTTTTTTTTTGGCTTTTTTGGTGAGGCGGTTGGGATTAAGTGACTTGCCCAAGGTCACACAGCTGTAATGCTCTTTTTAAGTAGCATAGAAACAACTGAGCTTAGCACCTTATCTATCAAGAAAAATTAGTTAAAATGAGAAACTACTATTGTGTCCCACCCTACTTCCCAACACATTTTGCTCAACTGCAATCACCCTAAGATGTTGGTTCAAGGGCAGCATTTGTGCTATTTGCCCCACATATAAAAATGACTGCTTATGGCTCTGTATAGTAACGGTATGGTAACTGTAGCCTTAATAATTACTCTTAGTCTCAGAGACAGATACCCTTTTCAATGGTGCCATGAGAAATGTGCTCAACTAGAACTCAACTCCCAGTTACTTAACATTAAAACATTGTATGGTTACTAGCTAAAGTTATTTAAACATTCTTTGCAGAGGTAAAGGCCCATGGATGTGAAGCACCATACATATTGCTGGACTTGGTGGGTGTGTTTGTTTTGCTGAACCATTTTTTTCTCTTCCTTTTTTGTTATTTTCATAAGGCATGTCTCTCTCTGGGTAGAGGAGGTAGTAGATATATTAAGAAATGAAGATGATATAAGTAAAAAAAAAAGCTATGAAAATTAAATAAATAACAAAATTACTATATTACTACAAATACATTATTTGTGTGTATGCAACTGTAAGAGACAATTGTGCCTTGACTATCCAGAATTTTAAAAAATATGTCTTAGATTTCTAAAGAAAAATTTTCCTTCTGCACTAATGCATTTTTATGTATCCTAACAAAACTGGCTAATTTAATGGACTTATTCTTTGGCTTTTAAAATTTTTTTTTAAAGTGGGGAGAACTTAGGAGGTGGAAGTACCCAAGGGGTACAGTCAGAAGGACCCTTGACACTCTGTATATAAATAATCCTTCATTCAACTTAGAGTCTATGGCATCAGGTATCCAAATGAAATTCTGAGAATTATTTCATTTCAGAGGAAGCTACAGCCAGAGGTTTTTGTCATTTGAACCAAAGCCCTCTCTTTATTTTCAAAAGTAGTAGAGTGGAGGGAGTGGTGCGTTTGGAGTCAGAAGGTCTGAGTCAAAATCCCACCTCTGCAGCTTGTTACTTCTGGGCCCTTACGTGAGTTGCTTAACTTCCCTTGGCCTTAGTTTTCTCTTTTCTAAAGTGAGAGAGTTGAATTAAATAGCCTCTAAGATTCCTTCCAGCTCTAGAACTGGAATCCTGTGAAGAGCTTGCTGATTCTTTGTGTGCCCTTGGCCAAATCTCTTGGTCTTGGTCCTTCCTGTGTAAAACAAGGGGGATTGGACTAGATGGTTTCTAAGTTCCTATCCAGCTCTAAATCTATAATCCTCTCATCTTCTAAGTAAAAGAGTCAGGTTTTTGACTGACAGTAACAACCAGCTCACAAAAGTTAGCAATAGGAGAAGATTATTGATTGGGGTGCCTCGTCTTCCTTTTATCAGTCAGGTTAGGCGTCCCCAGTGTGGTCATCTTGTCAGTTGAATGCCTTGCTTTCTGTTCTAGGGCCATTCATTGAATTTGGAGACATAGAACCAGCTGAGCTCTGGGGAGACTTGGAAGACGAGAGGAGCCCTTTTGAGTCATTGGAGCAAATAGGTGCAGGAGAGATGAGGACACCCCTTTTTGCCATTGAGAACCAATCATCCCAGTACTACACAGAAGAGGTTGAAGAGGAGGAATGTGAACACACAATCATTAGCTGGCCTACTACTGTTATGACCTATGGAGATGACTCAGAGCCACAAGAAACAATGAATGATGAGGAAGAAGTGGTTCATGAGGATGTGAGGCGGTCCTCAGAACAGACGCAGGATGATGTGGGTTCCACAGAGGAGTTACCTCTAAAATCACAGACTAAGAAAAGATTAAGTCAAGAAGCAAAGCAGGGAGAGACTTCCACAGAAGAAGGAGAATCATCTGCAAAAGAGGGAGAACCATCTGAAGCACAGGGGGAACCGGCCAAAGAGGAGGGGGAACCGGCCAAAGAGGAGGGAGAACCGGCCAAAGAGGAGGGGGAACCGGCCAAAGAGGAGGGGGATCTAATCAAAGAGGAGGGGGAACCGGCCAAAGAGGAGGGGGAACCGGCCAAAGAGGAGAGGGAACCGGCCAAAGAGGAGGGGGATCCGGCCAAAGAGGAGGGGGAACCGGCCAAAGAGGAGGGGGAACCGGCCAAAGAGGAGGGGGAACCAGCCAAAGAGGATGGAAGACCTATTGAGCCAAGTTCATCCCAGGGTTCACTAGGAAAACAGAGAGACTCTGTAGAAGAGAAGAGGGACTCCGGAATGGAAGCAAGAAAATCCTCAGGGGGACCAGCGAAGGAGGATGGATCAGCAACAGAACAGAAGAGCTCTACCACAAGAGCACAAGAGCCTGGAGGAGAGCAAGAAGAATCTTCAAAGAGGCCACAAGAACCATCCATGTCTGCAGCAGAGCCGGGACAAGTGCCCACAGAGAAGAAAGCGTCAATAGAACAGAAAGAAGCCGCTTCCCTGGAAGAAAGCACCGCGCTCCAAGAGAAAAGCAGCCAAAACATCTCCACAGATTCTCCAGAAGAAGAGAAAGTTGAAGTGCAGCTCAAGGACTCCAAGTCAACCACAGAAGAAAACCTCCCAGGTAAGAATGTGTTTTCTGAAGCCTCACCGACTCATTTTTTATTGACCCTAAATGTCTTTCCTAATACACAGCCATTGGACACCATTGCTACACTTCACATGTATCCTGGACTTGCCAATATTTCGGCTCCTCAGCATTGCCTCTTCAGGATAAGTTATTTTGCCTGGGTCTTCCTTTTGTACTGGAATTCCATTTATAAGGAGAAAATCTGACCACGTTAAGAATAGAAGTAAGGGGCAGCTAGGTGGCACAGTGGATAGAGCACCAGCCCTGGATTCAGAAGGAGCTGAGTTCAAATCCGGTCTCAGACACAAAACACTTACTAGCTGTGTGACCCTGGGCAAGTCACTTAACCCTATTGCCTAGCCTCCCTCCCCCCCCAAAAAAAGAATAGAAGTGATTCTTCATTTACTTGCTATAGGTTACATCAGCCAGCTAGCCAGGGGAGCATTCAGATTAGGAAATGCAGTGAGAACACTTTAGCTCTGAAATTGTGGGGTCTGATGCCAGGGAATTGGTTTTTTAAAAAATTTAAATTTTTAAATTTTTATAAAAAGGAAAACTGCCCTGATATTTTAGAACAAGAAGGCAAAATAGAAATTGAAAGAATCCACCCAATCACCTCCTGAAAGAGATCCCCAAAGGAAAACTCCTAGGAATATTGTAGCTAAATTCCAGAGTTCCCAAGTCAAGGAGAAAATATTGCAAGCAGCCAGAAGGAAACAATTCAAGTACTGTGGAAACACAATCAGGATAACACAAGATTTAGCAGCTTGTACATTAAGGGACTGCAGGGCTTGGAATATAATATTCCGGAGGGTAAAGGAGATAGGACTACAACCAAGAATCACCTACCCAGCAAAACTGAGCATAATCCTTCAGGGGGAAAAAATGGTCATTCAGTGAAATAGAGGACTTTCAAGCATTCTTGATGAAAAGACCAGAGCTGAACAGAAAATCTGACTTTCAGATACAAGACTCAAGAGAAACATGAAGAGGTAAACAGGAAAGAAAAATCATAAGAGACTTATTAAGGTGGAACTGTTTACATTCTGCGTGGAAAGATGGTATTTGTAACTCATGCATCCTTTGTCAGTATTAGGGTAGTTGGAAGGAAAAAAATATATGGATGTATATAGATAGATGGCTAGAGAGATAGAGAGATAGAGGGCACAGGGTGAGTTGAAGAAGAAGGGGTGATATCTGGAGAATAAAATTAAGGGGTGAGAGAGGATTATACAGAAAGAAGGAGAAAGGGAAAGATAGAATGGGGTAAACTATCACATAAAACAGACAAGAAAAGGCTTTTACAGTGGAGGGGAAACAGGAGAAGGTGAGAGGGAATCATTGGATTTGGCTTAAGGAGAGAATAACATACACACTCAATTGGGTATGGAAATCTCTCTTACCCTACAGGAAAATAGGGGGGGGGGAAGGGGACAAGAGTGCAGGGGGATGATGGGGGGGCAGATTGGGGGAGGAGGTAATCAAAAGCAAACACTTCTAAGGAGGGACAGAGTCAAAAGAGAGAATAGAATAAATGGTAGGGGCGGGATAGGATTAAGGGAAATATACTTAGTTTTTCACAACATGACTATTATGGAAATGTTTTGCATGACTACACATGTATAACCTGTATCGAGTTGCTTGTCTTCTCAATGAGGGTGGATGGGGAGGGAGGAAGGGAGAAAATTTGGAACCCAAAGTTTTAAAAACAAAAGTTAAAAAAAAATTGTTTTCACATGCAACTGGGAAATAATATATACAGGAAATGAGATATAGAAATCTATCCTCCCCTACAAAGGGGAAGGGGATTAGAGAAGGGTAGGAGAGATAGAAGGGAGAGCAGATTAGGGGAAGGGGTATTCAGAATGCATGCCAGCTTGGGGTGGGGGGAGGGGTGAGATGGGGAGAAAATTTGGAACTCAAAATCTTGCGGAAGTGAATGTTGAAAACTAAAAATAAATAAATTAATTAAAAAATTCCTTTAATTCCATTTCTAAGATGTCATGTGTTGTGACAGAATTTAAATTGGGCTACTTCAAGGCACTCAGAGAAGGCTCTGTGGCTTGCCACAAACATCAGTCTGGGAGCTGTTTCCTTTTGAATTTTCCTTTATTTTCTTAACCTGTTTGGTGAGGTCAAGATCACGTCAGGGTTGGTTTGTTTGTTTAAATTATACCAAAAGGTAATAGACTCAATATGCAGAAAGAGACACATTTTTGGACTCAGGCCATGGGGGAATTGACATTGCTGACTATGCATATTTTGGTTTTTATTATCAGAGTTTTAGAAAATAAATGCTTCGTGATTGAAAAAAAATTAAAAATGTATGCCATCTAGCTCTGAGGCCCACAGCCCCACTAACCCTAAATACAGTAACCTAGTTTAAAAAGCAGTGACTGGGGAGATAGGTGACTCAGTCATATCAGCCTAGTGTAGGGGAAGGCCTGGCAGACTTGGAGTCAGGAGAAGTTGGCATTAGAAGCCCATGCCTTGGGTTTCCTAGCTATACTAACTTGGGCAAGTCATTTAAACTTTGTGCCTCAGTTTCCTTATCTGCAAAATGCGGATACTAATACTTGTATGACCTTCCCTAAGACCCTCAAGTCAAGTCTAACTTTTGGCATATGGACTCTCAGTGTTCTAGGCAGTTCTCTGAAATTCTAGGTCCCAGAGAAGGTGTTGACCTGGGTTGGGAGAGGGAGTTCTCTTCACCCATAAAATAACATGTCTAGTCCCTAATCCTGTCCTATAGAAATGTGAGCTGCTCCTACTACTACTATTGCAATCTTTCCTGTGGCTGGGCCTCAGTTTTTCCCAGCTGTAAAATGGAGTTAGCCTCTCCTTACCTCATAGGAATAAAGATAATACAAATGGCAACTGATCTTGGAATTATCATTAATGATCACAGTTATTGAGTGACCCCTGGTGTTGGCATAGTGATGACAAGTTAGGCTACACATGGAAAGATGATTCTCTAAGGAGGTTTTTATCACCAGGATGTCAGTGATTTCCCATACTGGAATAATTACTGGTGAGAATTTCGTCTTTCATGGCAACCAATTGATTGGTGCTTTCCTTTTACAATTTTCAGAAACTGGAGACAAAGACACGAGCTGCGAGCTCAGGAGCCAGCTAATAGAAGGGAAGCCATGGTCAGGTGACTCCACCTTTAATTGTCCCTTCCTTTGTCCCTTGGCACACAGTTACATTGGATGACAGATATTGGAAAAGAGAAGGTATTGACTTATCCCTGGTCTGGTCTTCTGTGTTCTTTCAGGCGAGCTCTTAACTTCTGACCTGAGTAAGACGTATATGAAATACGGAGAAAAGAAACAGGCTTATTTAGTCTCCGATGATCCCAGGTTCTCAGGTACCTGACAGCACAAGAGTCCACGAAGAGATGAATGGCACTCAATGGACGGATGGGCAAAGAGGCTAACCTTGATTACTGAGTAAACCCATTCTCTAGGGTGGTGACCAGCCCCATCCACCTTCTTCCTCCACTAGTAGTAAAAAGAAATTCTCTTTGCTTCCTTTCCTTCTCACCTTATTGTTTTTGGGTCATAATGATGTTCAAGGTCAGGTCATGTAAGATACCTAGTACTCTCAAAACATTAAAAGAGGTGGAGGGTAGGGGAGAAATCATGACATTGGACAAATGCTTTAGGAACTTGTGTATGTATGTGTGTGTGTGTGTGTGTGTGTGTGTGTGTGTGTGTGTTAAAAATATAGGTTAGAGGCAGCATAGCAGAGTGAATAGAGAGCCAGCCTTAAAGTTAGGGAAAGCTGAGTTCAAATCCTTTATCTAAGACCCTGTACGACCCTGAGCAAGCTCTTAACACCTGAGTGTCCTAGGCAACTCTCTAGTCACTCCACAAGCATATAATATTAATAACAACAGCAATTAACATTTATATAGTACTTTAAGGTTTAGAAAGCACTTTATTAATAAGCACTTAGCTATATACTGGGGGGGGGGGCACAGCAAACAGTGGCTACAGCCCTGGTCCTGGAGTCAGGAGGACTTGAGTTCAAATTTGGCCTTATGTACTTACTAGCAGTGTGACCCTGAACAAGTCACTTAACCCCATTGCCTCCAAGAAAAAAAAAGAAAAAAACTCTATATACTGGGAATCATGCTAAGTACTCTCGGGGATAGAAGAAGGTCAAAACCCAGCCTCCGTCCTCAAGGAACTCGTAGAAAAGATACTAACCCTCACTGGAAGTTGGATTTTTCCTACCTAGGAGTTCTATGTGTTAATGAGACCATGAGTTCAGTCTTTATCAAATGAGATAACATAGATCAAACCATAAGGCTCTATATATGCTGTTATCATCATCATCATCATCATCATCATCGTCATCATCATTCCTATTCCTGAGTCCATGCCCAGTTGGAATTCAGTACTTGCCTACATTCTCCTCAGGCTTGGGGGGATTTCTCTCCTGACCACATTGCTTCTGTTTCTTGCTGACCAGAGCTGCGTCCAATAATCCTCAAAATGCAGAGTCAGGAAGAGTCAAAGATAAGGAGCTTGTTCACCAAGAGCTACCTCACAGTGCCACAGTTCGTTCAGCTCCTGGAGATGTTTGTAGGGAATGGCGTCCCCCCTGGCGTCATGAAGAAGTTCCTCCACTTTTTAAGGAAGAATTACGTGGAGACGCATGAAGAGAAAATGAACCGCTTGGTGAAGGTGAGTGTTGTGCGAAAAGCAATGGGAGAGGCCAAAGTTTTGAGGGGAACATGGCGTCATTCCAAGCCCTGCTGGCTCTCATTTCCTCTTTCTTTTGGTCTTTTTACCTTCTCCTCCCCTTTCCCCCAGATTTTGTCACTTTATTTCCACACTTATTCGATAAGTCACTCCAAGTCCAGCCCTATAACAGTAACTAACTATTTGACCCAAAGCAAAGTAATATCACTTGGACTTTTAATTCAATGCAAAACAATGAAGTCTAGGGTCAGATATTTGGCAAAACTGTTGCTCATTGATACCTAAGTGTGCAAAGACACTCTAGATTCAGAGAAGGCACAGAACCCCAAAGGTTTATGGAGACCGTGGGCTCCAAACCGTCTATCAACCTGGAACCTTTTGGTGGCTGGAGTACTTCCTTTAAGTGACTTGTATAATCAGATGTCTTTATTATATAGAGAATGTGTTCCTTTTCTCACATTTTGTTGTTGTTCAATCGGAGAGTTGGACACAACTGAAAAATAACTGAATGACAGCAACAAATCTAGTTGTTTATGTGTTGTTTTACCACTAGAATGTGATTATCTTGAAGCCAAGGACTGTTTTTCCTCCTTTTTTTGTATCCTCCACACTTACGTGTAATATGTCATTCCGTCACATCCAACTCTTTGTGACCCTGTGGACCATATCGTCCATGGGGTTTTCTTGGCAAAGTTACTGAAGTGGATTAAGGCAAACAGGTTAAGTGACTCACCCAGGGTCACACAGCCGGCAAGTATCTGAGGCCATAGTTGAGCTCAGGTCTTCCTGATTCCAGATCCCATACTCTATCCACTGAGCCAGCTAGCTGCTTCTACCTATAATACCATAAGCACTTAATAAATGCCTTTTGACTGACCGGCATTTATTAAGTGCCTACTATGTCCTAGAAGTTGCTGTGTTCACTGGGGACATAAAACCAAAAGTCAATCGGGTCCTCCCCTCAGGGAGCTAACATTCTACTGGAGGAGACATATGTGTGACTGTATACATACGTATATATGTATACGTAAAATATGGCGAAAGAGATTGGCCCTATGATTCATAGGGAGCTCCTGAATGAGAAAACACCCTCTGCCAATACAACTGGCAACTTCCAACCTTGGAGAGGTGGCTGGAGCTTTGAGATCTGTAGTGACTTGCCCAGGCTCACCAGCTAGGCTATGTCAGAGGAAGGACTCGAATTCGGGTCTTCCCAATACCAAGGCCAGCTCTCTAGGGACCACATCATGCATACAAAATAACACATAAAATACATACAAATTGATGTCCTTTGGTGTCATATTGTAGCCCAAAGAAATTATCTCTGTAAAAGACACATGACCTACTGGGAGCCATGCATTTCCATCCTTCGCAATCCTTCTTGCTTCCTAGATTCATCAAGAGACCATGGAAATGAGAAGGAAGATACTCCTGGAAGCTCTCTTTCGGAAGTGGGATAATGAAGGCTCTGGCTTCCTGGACCTGTACGAGGTTGATAAACTTCTGTTTACCTACAAGGAAGGCATGGAGAAAGTATCAATGATGAAAGGTAAGGCACAAGGCCAATCACCAGCTGCGATGGACATTTCCCACTCACCGTAGGGAGCCCCCTACCCAAGAAAAACACTGGTGGTTACGGGCGAGATGGACCATAGAAGACTCCAACTCAGCGTAAGTCCAAGCTGGCAATTCAAAGGCAAAACCCAAGTCTCTGCCCCAAAGGTCCTTCAATAATCAGATTCATTCTTTCTCAAAGAAATTCAGTCCCCATTTTCCTGGCTTGTAAAGGTGTATAAGATGTGTGTGTGTGTGTGTGTGTGTGTGTATACACATATGTTTACATATATGTATATACACATATAAGTGTGTATGTATATATGTGCGCATATATATATATATATATATATATATATATATATATATATATATATATATATATATATATTATATATATATATATATATCTCAGAGGTTACAGGATCATAGACCTACAACTGGAAGAGCCCTTAGAGTCCAGCCCTTCTCATTTCACAGTTGAGGAAACTGAGGCAGACAGAGGTTAAGTGACTTGCCTAGGGTCACACAGCTAGTGAATGGGGCAGGATTTAATAATGAAAAATAACAATTTAATTTAATAATAATAATGTCATTTCTATAGTGCCTACTAGGTGTCAAGCTGAGAGCTTTACAGGTATTTTCTTATTTGAGCCTCATAACAATCCTGGGAGGTAGATGTTATTGTTTATCCTCACTTTACAGTTGAGGAAACTGAGGCAAATGGAGGTTAAGTAACTTGCCCAGGGCCACACAACTGATGAGTGTCTGAGACAGGATGTAATAATGATAAATAATAACTTAATTTAATAACAATAATAATATTTTAGTGCCTCCTGTGTACCAAGTACTATGCTAAGTGCTTTACAATATTTTCTCATTTGACCCTCGTAACAATCCCAGTAGATAGATGCTGTTATTATTGCCATTTTACAGTTGAAGAAACTGAGGCAAACCGGTTAGGTCACATAGCTAGTAAGTGTCTAAGGCAGGCTACGAGCCCAAGTCATATGTCCAATGTGTATCTGAACAAAAGCCCCCTCTATGATGCCCCCAGTCACTGAGATTCTTCAAAGATCTCTGGTGTCCAACTCACTACCTTCTGTGGTAACCACAGGACTTAGATTCAAATTTCAATCATGCTTCTCGTGGACACTATGACATTGAACAGATCACCTCTACTTGCGAAGCTCCAGTTTCCTTGCTTGTCAAAAAAAAGGGGCGGGGGTCAGAGTAAATGACCTCTAAGGTCTTTTCCAGCTCTAAATCCCAAGATCCTCCTCTGCCCATCGCTTCCATTTGAGCCCACGAGGACCAAGCAAAGTAAATCTGAATTGGCTTCCACATGACATCTCTTTTCTTAAAAAACAGACCTATAATTTCACTGGGAGATTGAACTCCCACAGCTCAGCACCTTCCCTGCATTTGAGGGTCTTAGAGAATTACATGGTGAGGATGAAAGGTCTTGCCAAAAGGCACGTACAAGTGTCAGAGGCAGGATTTGAATCCTGGTGGTTCTGACTCCAAGGTCTGCTCTCTAACCATTATACCAGCCTACCTCTCACTTGTTTGCTACAAAAGGCAAGCCTAATCAATCTAGCCTCTACGTGGTAATCCCTCATATGGCTGAAGAGAGCCAAGTCTTCTCAACTAGCCAAGCTACTTCTCCGGTGCGGGGTGAAGGGACATGAGAGGAACTAAGGTGAACATTTCTTTGTGATGCCACCGACAATGTTTTAAGTAGACTAGTGACCTGGTTGTGTCCAAAAGGATGCCTTCGCTCTTCTAGAGCTGCCATGTTTCTGGGCACCGGGCAGATTCAGAGCATTATTCATGGCAGGAAGGTGGACAGGAAAACGGGCCAGCCGTGGGTGGAGAGGAGCCCATCTGTGGGCTCTGAGGGAGCCATGGCCACGTGCCCCTTTGTTCTTGCTACATCTGAATAGCTGAAGAAGCTTCCTGTATTCATTTCAGTCTGTAGAAGGGACTCCCAGGACAGGTAGCAGCCCAGGGTCTTAGTTCAGCCACTAGACAGCTGGGCTTGGGATTTCTCTTTTCAGCATGGCAGGCTTCAGAGGTGGCTGCCCATAGAGACTGTATTCTGGGCACAGTATAGCTGGAAAGATACTCACGGCTTGCTTAGAGAGTAGGATGTTTCCTGGAGAGTAAAAGGATTGAGTACGTGAAAGAAAAAATACACAGAGGTTGTATTTCTTTGGTGCTGGCCTCTCTGGAGGCAGGTAGAGACAAGGGACAGGTCTTAGGGTACTAATTCTGTATCCTAGCAGGGCTGTCAGTTGTAGTCAAGGCAGTTGGTGTGATCGGCACAATGAGCCTGGGTAAGGAAGGCAACGGTGATTACACTAGTAAATGCCATCAAGTTGAGATTCAGCTGACTTCTGGACAACTTCTTTGTGGTGTGCTCCCTCCCCCATCACTTGCCCCTGGCCATTTTTTAAAAAGTCTTTTGGATTTGTTGAGAGAGAGAGAGAGAGAGAGAGAGAGAGAGAGAGAGAGAGAGAGAGAGAGAGAGAGAGAGAGAGAGAGAGAGAGAGAGAGAGAGAGAGAGAGAGAGAGAGAGAGAGAGAGAGTGTTTTTAAAAATCACAATCCTGGGGCAGCTAGGTGGTGCAGTGGATAGAGTACCAGCCCTGGATTCAGGAGGACCTGAGTTCAAATCTGGCCTCAGACACATAACACTTACTAGCTGTGTGACCCTGGTCAAGTCACTTAACCCCCATTGCCCAACCAAAGAAAAAACAAAACAAAACAAAAATCACAGTCCTTTCCTGTTACATGTTATCCCATGTGACTGTCCCTCAATCTCTTTCTATTAGAGACCTAAGGAAAGGCCCTTAAGAAGCCGAGTCCACCTCCCTCATTTTAAAGATGAGGAAACTGAAATCCACAGAGTGAGTAGGGACATGGGATCATTGCTCTGGGTCTGGAAGGTAACTGAGTAGCCATAGGGGTCCAACTCTCTCATGTTACAGATAAAGAAACTAAAGGCAATAGACATGAAGTGACTTGCCCAAGGAAGTGCAGGAGTAAGTGACAGGATTTGAATCCAGGCCCTTTACTACAAATCCATCCAATTCCCCTTTCCACTGTACCAGGCCATGACAAAGAAAAGTAAGTATGTCTAACTGATCAACAAAACAATCAGATTTACAAGTATATGCCACATTCTGTGCCCCTAGTCCCCCTCCTCTCTAATAAGAGAAGGAATGTCTGTTAAATCTTCTGTTCTGCAGGACCAAGATTATTCATTCAATCAATCAATCAATTCATCAGTAAGCATTTATTAAGTATCCACTATGTGAGGGGATTGTTCTAAGTGCTGGGGATTCAAATGCAGAAATCAAATAGCCCTGCCCTCAAGAAGATTACATTCTATTCATCTGAGCTCAGTAACTTTTTAATGCGGGGGTTTTTGTTTACATTATTATAATCGTTGGTTCTAGAGATGTGTGGGTTCTGCTATCTTCAATCTATATGATAGCAGACAAATATTCTCCTGAAAGGCAGAAGAGTGAAGAGGGTACTAACTCTGGAGTCCAGGGCCTAGTTTGGTATCCTGCCTCTTCTACTTAATCCCCTCTCTGGGCTTCAATCTCCTCACCTGGAAAATCCAGGTGAATGGGATGTCCCAGTGTCATTAAGGTAGTGAGTTCAAAATGTAGGATAGGGTTAAGAATAGATTACTGTAAGATCTTCTCTTTTTAGTGTCAAATATTAGCAGTTAAAATTTGTCTAGTTGTCAAGCCCTGGCCTGCTTTCTGATCTTATCTTGATGCGCCTTTTGTCCTAAGCCCCTGAAAACCCCTAAATGTTTAAGTCCCCTTATCTCCCTTTGACAGGGTTTTATTCAGATGTCTTTCTATTTCCAACATTATCTATTCAATCCCTGAGACCTCCCAAAAACAATTGTAAATTATCTTCCTAACTGCGCATTTTTTATTGCTTCTTTTTTGTCTCAAGGAACTAAGAAATATAGAGAGGTATACTATATCCTTTGTCCTATGTTAGAGTCTGGCATGTGAGATTGTGAGCCGAATTAACGGACAGCTGTGGGGGGAGGAGGAATTTTTTTATTATTTAAGCCAGCTTATGTGTCTATGTCCCTTGTCTCCCGTTCATCAGAGCTTACTGATGGAGGGACACCCAAGTCTCGAGATTTGAAATAATAATAATAATTATAGCTATAATAAATTAACTTTCTGTTTCTCCTTGGACCCCTCTGTGTTTTGTTTTATTTTTAATTTGAGTGGCATCCCACACACAGGGTTTGGAGTAGATGAGCTCAAAGGTCCCAGCTGTGTGACCTTGAGAAAAATCGCTTCCCCTCTCTAAGCCTCAGTTTCCCCAGCTGTAAAATGAGGGGGTTGGACCAGGTAACTCCTGAGGTCCCTTCAAGCTTTAGATCTATCATCCTCTGGCACTATGAGGGGATTGGGAAGTCCCAGCAATATCCCTGCAGGGGAGCCCTCCACCATGTGGGCACTCTGCAGGAAGGGCAGAAGAGTCCATTCTTTATCCTTTGTGCACCTCTGTCTACTATAACAACTGAACACTCAAATAGAAGTGAAAGGGAGGGTAAAGACAGCCACATGTCCTGGGGAAAATTTCTATCACAGGTTAAGTGTGATGGAAGAAACAACTTTTCCTCCAGAATTTCCCAGTGGATGCTCCATATCTACCATTGCCAGGTTTCTGCATCTGTTCTCCTGAAGTCCCAGAGTTCTCTTTAGCAGAACATAGTCCCATTCATGCTACTTTCATTTTCCTTTCCATTCTTTCGGGATATTTACCTCCCCTAAAGTGGGCTCATCCACTCTAATCCTTTTTCTGTTGCCTTCTTATGGCACGGAGTTGACCTTGAATTTTGTTTGTCTAGAGCTGGGACTTCATAGGCCTTCAGATCCAATTCCCTCACCTTACAGAAGAGGAAACTGAGACCCAGAGAGCATAAGTTACTTGCCCAAAGCCATACAAGTGATAAGAGGCCAAGCCAGGATACAAACCTAGGTCCTTTGATTCCAAGTCCTGGGCTTCTCCCCTTGTACCTTGGTAGATTCTCAGTAAGCATTTGCAGATTGGTTCATTGAGTGCTGGCTAACTAGCAATCTTTCCCACTCCTCGAATTCCTCCTTATTCCTGGTTAAAAACTTCTCTGCAACAGTCCTGAGCCCCCATCCCTTGCCACAGGTTCCAAGGGGCTTCCTTCTCAACACCGGGAACACTGTTACCCATACAACAGAATTACATACTTCCTGAGCTTGGATGAAACTCTTCTTTTGACCCTGAAATGAGCTGAGAACAGCCAAAGGCCCTCAGCTACCCCTGTGCTGGAGCTGCCACTAAAACGCCCCCGTTTACCACTAGAGTTCCAAAGATCCATTAGGTCACCTGGGAGAATTTTTTCTCTGCCAGCAGAGACCTCAGGTCCTCCAGCCTTGGGAGACAGCTGAGGTGATTTTTAAGAAATGCATTACCTAGGAGGAAGACTTAGCGCTTGAAGATTTAGCGAGCTTGGCATTAGAGGACAATCAGTCCTCGGGTGTGTATACTTGCTTCCCAGTTGGGTAGAAAGTGTCCAAGCATGCACTGAGCTGGCTTTGCCTCCAAGAAAGTGCAGTTTCCTGAGTCAGATTCCAACTCTGACACTAGTCTAGCTCAAAATCTCTGATCCTATATCTAAAACAATGGTGTTAGATGCTAAGGGGTTTACAAAGGAGTATGAAACATGATACCTTCCCCCCCAGTGCCCTAAAATACGGATGGGAAGACCAGCTCTGTAGGCAGCTACGTAGCGCACTAGATAAAGTTTTGGGCTTAGAGCCAAGAAGACCTGAGTTTGATTTCTGTATTTAATCTCTCTGAGCCTCGGTTTCCTCACCTGTAAAAAGAGATAATTACAGTAACAGCTGCCTCACAGGCTTAATTTGAGGATCAAATGAAATCATCTACAGAAAGCTCTGTGCAAACCATAGGGCCCTGTAAAAATGCTAGCCATTGCCTCGCCATACGAAAAGGTAATTGACAGTGTAACACAATCTTGTTACGGGCAGGGACTGCTTCATTTGTGTTGTGGGAGCCTAAAATGTAGCCCAGGGTCTGGCATATAGTAGCTGGTTAATCTATGCTTATGGAATGATAAGCACCGAGTGAGTGATACAAGCAAAGAGCAGTTCAGTGGCCCAGAGCCTATGGCTTGGGCCAATCAGGGAGGGATTCATGGAAAAGGTGAGATTTAAGTTGGGCTCTAGGAAAGATTTAGAGTCGAAAGGGACTTTGGAGGCCACTGATCCAACTCTCTCATTTCATACAGATGGAGAAACTGAGGTACAGAAAGAATAAGTGACTTGTTCAGGGTTACACAGCTGATGTGTCTGAGACAAGGTTTAAACTTGGGTCTTCCCAACTTCTAGTCCAGCATTCTGCCCACTGTGGAAACCACCGGCATGCCTTGAAGGCTGGGTGGGACTTGGCCAGGTGGGGCTTTAGGTGAGGAGGTTGTCCTGAGAAGGGCCATGCATGGGAAAGATGGCAGTGTCATCCACTTCATGTAGTGACAAGAGGCCAAATTAGCACGGTGGCCACAAAGCGATGGCAAAATTGTAAAAGTAGGCTCAAAAGAGCTGCCAAGGATAATTCTCCTGATTGAGTGATTGACAGAACACAGGAGTCATCTAGGGGAGCTGGCCTCAGAATCAGGAAGGCCTTGGTTCAAGTTTCCTCTTTGATCCATATTGTATTATTACTTGATTTTATATCATTATTATATTATGGTAGTAGGGAGGCAGGTGGCACAGTGAACAGAGTGCTGGGCCTGGAATCAGGAATACCTGAGTCCAAATCCACCTTCAGACATTTACTAGCTGTGTGACCCTGGACAAGTCCCTTAACCTCTGTCTGCCTCAGTTTCCTCATATGTAAATATAGGGATAATAATAGCATCTACCTGACAGGCTTGTTGTGAGGATCAATCGTAATTATAAGGTGCTTAGCACAGTGACTGGCACGTAGCAGTATTTATGTAAATTTCTCTTCTTCTTCTCCTCCTCCTCCTCTTCCTCCTTCTCCTCTTCCTTATCTTTAACTTTTTCTCCTCCTCCTCGTTATTAATATTAATTGTATCATGGTGCAGCGCAGATGTCACTCCTGCGTAGGTAGGAGACATTCCCTCACTGGAAGTTCCCTCCAGCAGTGAAATCACAGGCCCTGACCAAATCACAATGAAATGATTATAGAGATGGGGAAGTCAGGAGAGGGACCTGGAAACTTTAAGTAGCTATTGAGGTCAGAGCTATCAGTCCTTGAAAATGCTAAACTGTACACTAATACACGCTTGATAAACCTGATTTTTGAGGTGGAACAAAAACAAGTCTCTCAAGATAATGAGCTCCTAAACCATGGGAGAGGCAGTATGGTATTTGGAATCAAAGAACTTAGGTTCAAATCCTCCCTCTGTCTCTTACTACTCATGTGACTTTGAGTCATGTAAGTTCTCTGAGCCTCAGTTTCCCTTTCTCTGAAATGAGGCAGTTGGCCCCGATGGATCCTGAGGTCCCTTCTGGCTCCAGATTTGTGAGGCTCCGATCCCTCCTACAAATACTTTACTCCCTAAGCTCATGCAGAATGGCAGATGGGGAGGGGAAATAGATTCCATGGGTGAATGAACTTTTAACAGCTTGTGGTCTGGGTCTCCTACTCTTTAGCAAAACTGTACATGAAACTACCAAGGCCCCATCCTGGCAACGAAGTGAGGTTAAATGCAGATCAGTTTGGAAACTACATTGAGCTGGTCGTGGCTGAGCTTACTGGGAACGAAAATGAAGTCTTTGACAACGTGGTGGAATTTCTGATGATGAGCCTGAAGCGGAACCACACGGAACAGCTCCGGAGCACGGCTCGGCAGAAGTGGCTGCAGAGGATCCAGCAAGCCGCTGAAACCAGCGGGGTTTGCCTGGAGCCTGTGTACACAGCGGTCCTCGAGGCCTTGACGAAGGTATGCGCTCCACGTGCAGCGGGTTAGGAAAGAAGATCCTCACTGTAGTTGGGGGCTCAACTCCATGATGGAGAAGTGGCTGCAGGGATGCTACAGACAAATCCTCAGCAGCTGCTGCAGATGTGTTATTTATGTCCCTTCGTGCCCTTGGTGACCTGAGGGATAGGGAACCATAGCCAGAAGAGTCGTCAGGTCAGGGATTGGGGGCAAGCAGAGAGTAAGAGGGGAGTGGATGGAACACTGGCAGACTTGGACAGAGAATCCTGGAGTCCCTGGCTCTGCCACTGTGTGACCTTGGATAAGTCATTGAATCTCCTGGGGCCTCAGTTTCCTTATCTGTAAAATGAAGGATTAGGCTAGATGACCGCTGGAGCCCTCTCAAGTTTTAGCTCTATGATCATCTGATCATCCCTGTGTGTCCCAGAAATACTAGTGAAAAGATAATGGCTTTTTGCCCTGCCTCCTCCAAGTTAAGACTTTTCACAGGGCTTCCTTTGACCAGTAACTTGAGAAGATCTTGCACTAGCAACAGCAATGTCCATGGCCAAGCAGGGGCCCCATTTTAAACCATTTACCTTGTGTGGGCTTAAATGACATTTTTCAAGGTTTGACTCTTTCATCACTTAGAAGGCAGCAGGGAGGGAAGGGCGAAAACAAGCATTTGTTAAATACCTACTTTATGCAAGGTGTTTACAAATATCATCTCATTCCATCCTCACAAAGACCCTAGGAGCGAAATGCTATTATTATTTCCATTTTACAGTTGAGGATACTGAGGCAGATGGTGGCAATGTAACTTGCCCAAGGTCACACAGCTGGTAAGAGAGTCTGAAGTCAAATTTGAACTCAGGTCTTCCTGACTTCAGTTCCTAGCCCTCTGTGCACTAATGCGCCATCTAGTGGCCATTTGGTTGTACAGTTTTGTTGCCTCCAGCTAAGAGGCAGCTCGCATAATGGCCATCATCCTTGGACAAGGGCCATCCTTGGAGTCAGGAAGACTTGAGTTTTAGTCCTGTTTCTGATACGTACTAACTTATATGATAAAGGGCGAATCACTTGATTTCTCAGTGCCCTCAAGCAACTCAAGAGCACTGGCTGTGTGGTCCAATCCTACCTCTGATACTTGCCACTGAATGATCTCGGGGAAATCATTGAACATCTCTGGGCCACAGGTTTCACACACGTAAAATGAAAGGTTTAGACAAGATGGCCCTGGAGGTCCCTTCAAGCTTTATCTATGAACTGATAATTAACCAATCAATCAAACATGTATTAAATACTGGGCTGAGTACTGTAAAGCTAAGTACTGGGAATACAGAAAAAGCAAAAACAGTCCCTGCCTTACATCACCTTGCATTCTAATATAGAAATCAAAGCATACAAGATAAAATCTTTCTGGGTTTCAGGTTCAGCACTTGAAAAATGAAGGGGTTGGATTAAATGATTTTTGAAGTCCCATCTAGCTCTGAATCTATGACCCCAAGGGAGGCTGACATCCACCTCTCTAGATGGAAAGTTTCAGCAACAACACTTTGAAGTCAAGTCTTCATTGCCCCTTAATGGTACCACCATCTGATTTTAGAGAAACAATTGGTAGAGCTAACTCACTGACAAAAAAAGAGGGGAGGGGCAGCTAGGTGGCGCAGTGGATAGAGCATCGGCCCTGAAGTCAGGAGGACCTGAGTTCAAATCCAACCTCAGACCAAACACTTGACACTTACTAGCTGTGTGACCCTGGGCAAGTCATTTAAACCCAATTGCCTAAAAAAAAAAAAGAGGGGAGACATCCCCACATGGGGGCAGGTCAGGAGCTAATGTAGGTCATCCCTCTGCTTCTAGGATGCTGAAGTCCATGGCAACAAGAAGATTAGTGCCTACATTGCTCTCTTGGAAGAGAACAAAACCATGCCGAAGAGAGGAAACGTCCTCCTGAGGAATGTGGCTTGTACCAAAGAAGATGCCCCATTTCTCCTGAAGCAAGCACTTTACCGGGACATGAAAGGAATCAGGCAAGGACCCATGGGAGGGAGGTTCATGTCCTCTTCCTTTGAGCTTCCATCGTTCTGCTTCAAAACCCTTGGAGTAGTCTAGGAAAGAAAAACCACTTGAGTCTCATGCACAACATTCTTCTTCACCAAGCACAGTCTAATAGCAGAGCTACTGCTAGACCACTGTGGAATGGCCCATCTTGGAAAGAGTTTCTATCTCCTTAGGAGATGACTTCCTAGATTTTTAACTTTCTCCTTTGGAAAGAGAGCTTCAAAAGAGGGCTGTGCAGCATGTTTGTAATTCAGTTACCTTGGAAGCTAGCTATTCTGCACTTCCTATCTTCTTCGAGTATTTTTCCTCCATTGAGGAAATCTGACCTTGAAGTCAAGAAGGCCTGGGTTCCAGTCAGGGGTGTGTTAGTGAATGTTTTAACAACTGGGTCTTCCACAAAATAACTCTCTTAAGTCTAATCAGCAACACAAGAAATCGAATCCTGATTGGTAGCATTTGCAAATTTCTGAGATGTAAATGCTCACACTGAAAATTTAACAACTGGTTCTTAGAATCCCCTATGCTGATGAAATCACAGGTCTGGGGTTTTTTTTTTAAGTCAGGACCTCTGGACTATCATTTTTAAATTTACTTCTCTAACACCAAATATGTCTATATATTTTTATACTGGAACTGGACGATTTCTACCATTGAAATTGATTTATTCTTAGCCCCTTCTGAAAGCCTTCCTTCCTTTTGTGTTCTTCATTTTTTTTGCCCTTTAGTTTTACAGTGGTGGATCAGGGAAAGCCAATCCATGTCCCACAAGTTCAGAAGCATGGAAATATCCACTTCTGGAACCCTTCCCGTGAACAAAAGGATTGTAAAGGGTCATTCCTGGCTGTCCCTCTTGAGGATGCTTATAAGAGAAGTTTTGGGATCCTGGGAGTAGACACCCTACGGGATACCTCCAGAAAAAGCATCTTCGTAGCTCATGAGATCAGCTTCTATCAGGTAGGTAGTAGGAACATTGAAATGTCAGTGTGAACACTCTCTATGTTGGAGTGAATAGAAAGAAAAAGAGAGACCTAGAGGAAAAGATATAGATTAGATAAAGAGCAGGAAAGATAATGAGTTTTGGACATGCTAAGTGCTTATTCATATAACAGGCACTGTGCTAAGCAATGTGGGTACAAATACAAGTAAGATAGTCCCTGCCCTCAAAGAGCTTATATTCTAATGGCAGAAAGCCATGACGCATAAAGAAGGTCTAAGAAATTTTCAGGGTGGAATTGATTCTCACATTAGCAGCTTCACATCAAGTCTTTGTTCTATTCCTTGAATACGTTTTTCATTTATGACTTAAGGTTTCTCACCTGTGTAAATGGGAGGAATTTGTGTCCCAGTTGATCATTCATTTCTTAATTTTTAAGGAAATTAGCCAATAAGAGACCTATTTAGTTTCAGTTGGGGGAAGGGAGCAATTTATTTTATACAGTAGAAATTGAACTATCAGGAAATGAACTTGCTAAAATAGAAATTCACTTAAGGTACAGTTTACTTTGTGGGTTTTTTCAGCTAAGTAATCAGAAATCCTTTCCATTCTCAAGGTGGGGCTAAATATGAATTCCAGCCTCACAAAATACTGGTCTAACCCTTGTGCTCAGTTTTATAATTTTAGGGGAAAGAAGTTGCAAAGGGGAATGAATCAATCAGCAAGCGTTGAGTAAATGCCTACTGTAGGCCAGGCACTGTACTAGACACTGATGATACAAATTGAGAAACAAAACAATCTCTGCCCTCAATGAGGAGCTTGTATTCTATTCAAGGAAACAATATGTATGCATATAAATAGTTGCAAAAGACAGACAAATAAAGTGTAAGATAATTTTTGTGTGTCTGGGGAGGCATGAGCCTCTGGGGGATCAGGAAAGGCCTCATGTAAGGTGTAGTACTCAAATGAAGCTCCAAAGGATGCTGGAGAGTCCAAAAGGCAGAGGTCAGGAGGACCCACATCCTAGTCACGGGTGACATCACAGGCAAAGGCACAGAAGACAAGACGGATTGTTGGGTGTGAGTGACAGTGAGTAAGGCAGTTTGGTTGGACCATAGAGTACATCCAGAAGAATATGGAATAAATATAGGAAGGCAGGCTGGATCCAGATTGTGAAGGGCTACTGATACCAAATAAAGTATTAATTTCTATTTAATCCCAGGGGCAATAGGGAGTCATAGGAGCTTTTTGAGCTAAGGAGTGACATGGTCGGAAATATCACTTCAGTAGCTAGAGAAGGATGGATTGTCCAGAAGACCAACTTGAGTAGAGAGACCAGTTAGGAAGCTATCAAAGTATTTCAGAGGAGAGGAGAGATGATAAAGGCTTGAATTAGGGAGGACACCCTACGAGTGGAGAGAAAAGATTGGATGCAAGAGACCTTGTAGGGATAGAATCAAGACCTGGCATATGTGGGGAAAGTGAAGAGTCAAGTTTGACTCCAAGGTGGTGAACCTGGATGACTGGCATGGTGGGCATACATGCAATAGGAGTCGGGTATATTCAAATGTCGTGCAACACATCCCAGGATGAGCGTTACCATTGACCTTGCCAATTTTCTAAGTGGGAAGTCACCTCTGGTGACTAGAAACATCATGGTGCCCACAAAAACAGTAGAGATACTAGGAAGAGGCGTGGATCTGGGGAAAATATAATGAGTTCTGTTGTGAACATGTTGCGTGTGAGACATCTCCAAGCCATCCAACTGGAAACGTCCAATTCACCTCCCAAAATTTCCAAGAATTGGAATTTTCAAATCTGACTGCCAAAAAACAGTGCTGATATTGGCATCAAAGATAACATAGTGGTTTTCCCAGTCAAGATGGTAGAGTGAGAAATCCAAAGAGAACTGGGCTCCCCATATGCTCTTCTAAAAACAACAAATAGAAATACCAAAGAGAAGAGCTGCCATAGTACTAATGACATTGGACAGAGTGCAATTCAAAACAGGCAAACAAGAGGACTGCATGATACTCCGAGGGTTTTTTATAAAGTGAGAGAATGTAAATTTAAAATACATTGTTACCTAATAATCCTGTGATAAAATGCTTAAAAAAAACCCAACCTCATAGTCTTTAAAAAAGAAATCATTAACAAGATGGCAGAGTAAAAGCAGTGACTTGCTTGAGCTTTCCCCCAAACCCCTCCAAATACCTGTAAAAAATGACTCTAAACAAATTCTAGAGCAGCAGAACCCCCCCCCCACAAAAAAAAGACAGAGTGAAACAAATTTCCATCCCAAGACAACTTGGATGGTTGATGGGAAAGGTCTGTTGTGCCAGGCTGGTAGAGGAGCGCAGTTCAGCTTGGGCTGCACAGGCAAAGATGGGGCCCCAGCAAACCCGTAGCAGACCTCAGGGGACCAATTCACTGGGAGCTGCGGTGGTTTCCAGACTTCTCAACGCATGAACGCCAAAGACAACTTAGAGTGTCAGTAGGAAAGGTTTGTTGGACCTCGGTGAGAGAAGAGCGTGGTCTATCCCCTGGTGCAGCCCTGGAAAGGCGGCAGCAGCAGCTGCTTCCAGAGCTCTTGGCCCACAGACAGTGAAGGGATCGGGCAGCTGATCAGAGGGGGATTGAAGGGATCTCTTTGCTGGCACTGAGGCAGGATTCTCTTGCTTTGCCCTTGCCTGGATCTGGGTCCCAGTCATGGGTGGCAGTCCTGGGGCAAAGAGGAGTGCTGACGTGGTGGAGCTTGTGGTGGAGCTTGTGGTGATGGTGGTTAGAGAGGGAATCCTCATCACAGTTCCAAGGCAGAAAAGAGTGATTGTGGTCACTCATAGATCAGAGCACAGGCCAAGAAAGGAGTAAACACCTCACCTTTGATCATACCACCTTGGAAGAACTGAAAATTTATAAGTCCCTAGAAGTATCTCTGAAAACAGCTGCACAAAACCCCTGAAGCTTGGGACAGTACACCGTCCACAATGGAGGCAGAGCCCTACCCTCATAAAGAATTAAAAAGTCAAGTAATTGGCTGGGAACATGAGCAAACAGCAGAAAAAAGCTCAGACTATAGAATTTTACTTTGGTGACAAGGAAGATCAAAACATACAACCAGAAGACAACAAAGTCAAAGCTCCTATATCCAAAGCCTCCAAGAAAAATGTGAATTGGTCCCAGGCTATGTAAGAGCTCAAAAATGATTTTGAAAAGCAGGTAAGAGAAACAGAGGAAAAATTGGGAAGAGAAATGAGAGTGATGCAAAAAAATCATGAAAAACAAGTCAACAGCTTGCTAAAGGAGATCCAAAAAATACTGAAGAAAATAAAATAGACTTAAAAAATAGACTAACCCAAATGGCAAAAGAGTTCCAAAAAGCCAATGAGGAGAAGAATGCCTTAAAAGGCAGAATTGGCCAAATGGAAATAATTCATTAAAAATTAGAATGGAGTAAATGGAAGCTAGTGACTCTATGATAAATCAAGAAATTATAAAGCAAAACCAAAAGAATGAAAAAATAGAAGACAATGTGAAATATCTCAGTGGAAAAACAACTGACCCGGAAAATTAGATCCAGGAGAGATCATTTAAAAATTATTGGACTATCTTCCTAGACATCATCTTTCAAGAAATTATCAAGGAAAACTGCCCTGTTATTCTAGAACCAGAGAGTAAAATAAAAATTGAAAGAATCCACCAATCACCTCCTGAAAAAGATCCCAAAAGGAAAACTCCTAGGAATATTGTAGCCAAATTCCAGAGTTCCCAGGTCAAGGAGAAAATATTGCAAGCAGCCAGGAAACAATTCAAGTATTGTAGAAACACAATCAGGATAACACAAGATTTAACAGTTTCTACTTTAAGGGATCTGAGGGCTTGGAATATGATATTCTGGAGATCAAGGGAGCTAGGATTACAACCAAGAATCACCTATCCAGCAAAACTGAGTATAATCCTTCAGGGGAAAAAAAATTGATATTCAATGAAACAGAGTACTTTCAAGCAATCTTGATGAAAAGACCAGAGCTGAATAGAAAATTTAACTTTCAAATACAAGACTTAAGAGAAGCATGAAAAGGTAAACAGGAAAAAGAAATCATAAGGGACTTATTAAAATTGAACTATTTACATTCCTACATGGAAAGATGATATTTGTAACTCACAAGACCTTTCTCAGTATCAGAGTAGTTGGAGGGAATAGATATAGATATAGATATAGATATAGATATAGATATAGATATAGATATAGATATAGATATAGATAGATAGATAGATAAGAATAGATATAGATACAGATATATACACACAGAGAGAGAAACAGAGAGAGACAGAGACAGAGACAGACAGAGATAGAGACGGAGACAGAGAACACATGGTGAGTTGAATATGAAGGGATGATATCTAAAAAATAAAATTAAGGGGTGAGAGAGAGAATTGTACTGGGAGAAGGAGAAAAAGAGTGGTAGAATGGGGTAAATTATCTCACATAAAAGAGGAAAGAAAAAGCTTTTACAGTGAAGGGGAAGAGCGGGGAGGTGAGAGGGAATGAGTGAATCTCACTCTCATCAAATTTGGCTTAAGGAGGGAATAACGTACATACTCAATTGGGTATGGAAATCTACCTTACCCTATAGGAAAATAGGGGGGAAGGGTATAAGAGAAGGGGGATGATAGAAGGGAGGGCAGATTGGGGAGGGGGTAATCAGAAGCAAACACTTTTAGGAGGGACAGAGTCAAAGGAGAGAATAGAATAAACAGGGGGAGCAGAATAGGAGGGAGGGAAATTTAGTCTTTCACAACATGGCTATTATGGAAGTGTTTTGCATGACTACACATGTATAACCTATACTGAATTGCTTGCCTTCTCAATGAGGGTGAGTGGGGAGGGAGGAGGGGAGAGAATTTGGAACTCAAAGTTTTAAAAATGAATGTTTTTTTTGTAGGCAATTGGGGTTAAGTGACTTGCCCTGGGTCACACAGCTAGTAACACGACAAATGTTTGGTCTGAGGCCGGATTTGAACTCAAGTCCTCTTGACTTCAGGGCCAGTGCTCTATCCACTGCGCCACCTAGCTGCCCCTAAAAATGAATGTTAAAAACTGTTTTTGCATGCAGCTGGGAAATAAGATATACAGGCAATGGGGTACAGAAATCTACCTTGCCCTACAGAAAAACAGAGAGGGAAGGGGATAAAAGAAGCAGGGGTGATAGAAGGGAGGGCAGATTCAGGGAAGGACCATTCAGAATGCACACTATCTTGGGGTGGAGAGGTGGAGAGATGGAGAGAAAATTTGGAAACCAAAATCTTATGGAAGTGAATGTTGAAAACTAAAAATAAATTAATTAATTAATAATAAGCTTTAAAAAAAAGATCACTAAGGACTAATAACAATGGATAATTTCTAATAATATCAAAACACAATAAACCTAACAAAAAGGCAACTAAAAACAAAATGAAAGAACTGGTTCAAATATTAGGCAAACTCACCCAATAAGGAATGCATCAGGGTTTAATACATTGTTGGTAGGACTGTGGATTTGTGCACACGTTTTGAAGCACAACACAGCGATGTTCAGTGAGTCACAGGTCAAATCGTGCCTTTTGACCCAATGATAGCATTGTAAGGTTTTGTACTAAAATATCATAAAAAGGCAAAGTTATTTGTAACTGCTTTATGTGCTATTGCAAATAGCTGCTGGCCACCTCTCTAACAGTCAGAATGGCTGAGTCGATGATGGCGTCTTCACCTAATAGCATAGTAGGGCTCCACAACATAGTAGATACCCCCAGGTACTGTCCTAAGTCCTCCTTGCTGCCTTGATAAGGGTTTTGCTCTGGCATTTATGATCAAGTAAAATGGTCATTGAAGGCTTTGATCAGGAACAGAGATGGCTCCTTGACAAGGTGTAAATTTGTTGCCTTGTCCTAGGTTGTTCCATTGATATCACATTAAGGATGACTGATTATATGCAGCCAGTTTATACACTTGTGCTGCACCCTTGGACTACCCCTTTAAAAGGGAGAGCAGAGGTAGAGGGCACAAATAGAGACAGAGGACATTAGAAAGGAGCCAGCTGGATACACATAGACTTGGTTGACTGGAGGGAAGTTTCTGTAGGCACATAACCTATCCAAAGAACCAGGTGGATCAAGAAACTGGTTGCAGACGAAGATGATGAATGAATTAATGCGTGCATCCATGAATGAATGAATGAATGAAAAGCATTTATTAAGGGCTTACTATGTGCTTAATACTGTGTGAAGAGCTAAGGGTACAAGTAGAAAAAGCAGAAGTTCTCAAGAAGTTCACACTCTAATTGGAGGAGACAATGCCCATAATTGTGTTCAGCTGTAGGGTACGTGAAAGACCAGAATTCCTAAGGGTACAATGATGGAACCAGTGGCAAGAAACAGACATTCTAAGGTGCATCAGCAGGTCAAATGGCAGTGCCGGGAGATCTGGAGGGTGTAGTGGCAGATCAGGGAGCAAGGCTCAGAGGACCTTAGGACAGGGGCAGGGCAGATAGAAAAGGCTAGCAGTCTTCCATTTCATTGAAAGTACTATAGTTGGCAACTCCCGGCTCATCCAAGTGGTGAGAGCAGCCATGTTGTTCTTTCTGCCTAGAAATTCCATCAAGGTCTGGGTGGCCCGGGAGTCCGCTAAGGGATGAAGGGATGCAAGGGAGAAGGGCGATAGGATCTGGGTGGCCCTAGGTTCAAGGGAAAGACAAAGAAAAGGCAAAGGGAGAAGGGTGCCCCCACTGACAGTTTTTTCTGTCTCCCGGTTACCGTGGATAAGGTCTGGGTGGCCTGGGTTCATAGAGAGGGGCAAATGGAGAGTAAGGACTAAGTAGGGAGTTCTTTTGCCAAGTCTAGACCAAGTGGGGGAGTTCCTGGGTCAAGATGGAGCTGGAGCAGAAGAGCAGCATGGGATACTGGTACTGAGTTACGTGGACTATGCTGGTCCAGGGAAGGAAGCAGAATCTCTAGGAAACCCAAGTGTGTCTGCCTTGCAGAGAAGCCTCAACCCCAGCATAGTAGTGTTAGTCTGGAGGACTCTTAAGGTCCTTGGGGAAGATGGAACTCAAAGACTTGCTTGACTCTAGCAAGACTCGATGCTATCCCTTTGCAGTGAATCTTACCCTCAAGGTGAGGGTTAAAATAAGTCTGGAGCTCCAAATAGATCCCTGCAAGGTGGAATCTCACCAGTTTCACAAGAAAAGGAAAAGGAGCTGGTTGAGTTTTTATGAACTCACTTATGTGTCCATAGCGTTTTTTGTTGTTGGGTTAAATAAAGCCTCTCCTATATTTGATGTTTTGCTAGTCTAAGCAATTGCATCGGAGATGTGGGCCCTTTTTATTTTTTGTATAGAACTAGATACAAGCCAAATTCCAACATCCCCAGGTGAAATTCTGGGCCAGGCATAAGCCAAGGAGAGAGAACTATTGAGAAGTCCCCAAGATTGAACCTGATGCATGCAAACACCGGAGAGGTTTGGTTCTTGAAGGAAATGTGAGGGAGACAGAGATGAGTAGAACTTCTGCTGTTTGTAGACCAACCATACCTATGTTTAAACAAAACAAACCAAAAAAGACAGGAAAAAAAAAACAAAGTCAAAGGTAGTTGAGCACTTCAGACAGACCTGGAAAGGAAAAGAGCCATCCTTTGGGTGCAATTCCAAGGAATGACCAGCAGAGGGCACAGCAAGCTAGCAGTTGTTTTCTCAGATTTCAATTGCTTTTTTGCAAAGACTCGCCCAGTGCATTTGAGCATTAGTGAATGGGTTAAAAGTATCAGGTTAAGTGTCTTCTTATTTTCATTTTTTTAAAATCATTTTGAATTTTACACAAAATCCAACATGAAAATATATTCAAATTATTTGTAATAAATGACATTGTAATATAATCATAGGTCATGTACAGATAGTGCTATACATAGGTTATCTCATTTGACCCGTGTAACAGCCCTGTGAAGTTAGTGCTGTTTTATCCTCATTATGAAGGATGAGGGAATGTGAGGACTAGAGAGATTAAATGACTCATCTTCAGGCAGAGATAAGATGCCAAATCTAGTCCTTTCTCTGCTACATCTAGAAGGGAAACTTAGAAGTTATCTAGTCCAACACCTTCCTGGTACTGAGGATAAGGGAAGCAACTTGTCTAAGCTCATACAGCAAGATAATGGTAGACCAGTATCTCTCTCTCTATCCTATCCTATCCTATCCTATCCATCCACCCATCCATCCATCCATCTATCTATCTATCTAATCTGTCTATCTATCTTTTTTTACTATAATCCAGACTTCCTTGCTCCTAATCCAAAGATTTTTATATGACATCACATGGCTAATAAGGCAAAATATCAGAAAAAAAAAACAGAAGAGATTTTGGAATTTCATATAATTCAATAGCAAATGTCAAGTAATATCTACTTCAGCAATGGTTTGGTCTGACACAAATGACATGAAGACACTTTGTCGATGCTGGTCTGATGATATTGGTTTACACACTGCCCAATGAGAAAGGTAGCTTAACATAGAAGACATAGACTTGGCCTTCACTAGTTCTTAGAAGCTTTCCCTTACATGAAGCCCAATTTTGCCTGTCTAAGAACTATTGAAGTTCTCCAAAAGTAGAATGGTCTCCCTTAGGTAACAGTAAGATTTCCCTCAGTGGAAGTCTTTAAGCAAAATCTGGATGACTACTTGTTGGCCATATTATAGAGATTTAGACAGGGTTGACTTAATTAGTATGAAGAAACACATTTAAGTAAGGGCACATTTAAGTAAGGGCGTTGTACAAATTTCCCCTTCTATGGGCATCTTCTATGTGCTGACATGTGGGGAGGCAGCTGGAGGGAAGGGAGAACTGGGACATATTTGCACCTCCCTTCTCTGTGTGTCTGTATTTGATAACCTCCTTAAAGAAGGGGAGAGCTCACTCAAAGTGGAAATCTGATTTAGGAACAGCCCAGGCTGCATATTCCACCTGGTAATGGTTCTGACACTCTGTCTGCATCATCCCTAGGGATGTATTTGAGAGCCCCAGAGGCAACTAGCAGAGTTTGGAGCCACAGACAGGCTATCTTAATTTGCTGCACTCAGCTGGTCCATGGAGGCCCTCGTATTTTTGTGTGGCTGTTAGGGCTGTCTTTCACCTCCCTCTGAAGTCCCTTCACCTGAAGAGTTCCTGACATTGCCACCCTCTTTGTCTCCCATTGCATATGGCTAAGACTGTATGGGGTCAAACAGGCATGAGAGATGGACTTAAATTCATTTTTCATCATATTGACATCCATTTTCCCCAATATTTTTTGTTGAATAAGGATTCATTTTCCTGATGTTTAACATAACTAAGTTTATAGTACACTAAACTTCTGCATATTTTGGGTTCTATTGGGGACGTATTTATTCCATTCCATTGATACATTTTTTAAGTTTCTGAATTTTATCAGGTAGTGTTTATAATCACCACTTTGTGTTATATTGTAGTCAAATACATAGGAGGCAAGGCATAGGAGATAGAGAACCAGCTTTGGAGTCAGAAAATCTGGGTTCAAGTCCTGCTTGTGACTTATACCAGCTGTAACTGTGGGCAAAGCACTTCACCTTTGGTATCCCAGACAACTCTGCATCACCTGAGGAAGTTTCTACACTGGAACTCCTCACACCCTTAAGTGGTACCTTATCCACATGAGACTGGACAAAACACAGACCAGCCCAACCTTGCCAAGTCCGGCAGCGGTCTCATGACCTTTCAATAGCATCGTTCTAAGCAGTACATGCTAATTATTTTTCTGCTCTTAAAAATGAGCCGATTTTGTCTCTGTCCTCACAGGGTGTGGCCAATGCATTTAGTATTGCCTACCACTATGTCCACAGCCGGGAACACATCTTGCATGTGATAGCAACTGCTGTTAGCTGGCTCCGCATTGTGGCACCTAGTATCAGGAACATTACCACCCTTCCTGGTGGAACCTGGACCAGACCAGGTAAGTAGTGCAGGACAGAATCAGACTTCCAGGATACGTGAGCGGTGTTGACTTTTTGTTATGTGTAGATGGGAGCACTTTTGAATTTAGCTGGTGTTCATTGGAGACATCTTTGTACCTGGTTCTCTTGTGCAAACCTGAAAGGGATCCTGGATCTATGATCTAATGTGATCTTCCTGGATTATATTTGAAAGGCAAATGTGGTCTAATAGAAAGAACTCTAGACTAGAGTCAGAAGACTTGGGTTATTGCCTCGTTTATGTTATGTATTGTATTCTGTGTATATTGTTTCTGTTATGTTTAGCCCTGGGATCAGGGGAAGGTTATTCAACCTTTCTGGGGCTTAGTGAAGAATGAAATATACCTTTATCAAGTCAAGTCCAGTCAACAGACACTTATTAAGCATTTACTATGTGTCAGGCATTTTGCTAAACATTGGGGAGATAAAGGCAAGCAATGCTGTCCCTGACCTTATGGAGCACCCAGTGTAAGGGGAGAGACAATATATAAACAGCATGTACATGTGTGCATACAAGGTACATAAATGAATTAATGTTTAAAGGTGACCCAGCCATCTAATACACCCTCTCATGGAATTGGTTCTAAGGTGTGGGTTATAAATAATTTTTAAAAGTATAAATCACTATAGACATGTGAAGTAATATTACCATTTTCATTAAAGAACCTCTTCCTTCTGTTTCTAGAGCTATTACTTCCATTCATCTTCATGAGAATTCCACATGCATAAGAAGGGGTATAAACCATTGTTTCTAATCCCATTATTGTGAGGTATTGTTATGGAGAGATTTTTAAAAAACCATTTATGGGGATAGTTTGGATTTTGTTTCAGCATTCATAGACTTATGGCTAGAAGGGAACTTTGGGGTCATTTAGACCCCCCCTCATTTTACAGATGTGGAAGCTGAGACCCTGAGAGGTTAAGGGTATTGCCCAAGATTACACAAGTGGTCAGTGACAGAGCTAAAATTTGGACCTAAGTCCTCTGAAATCACATCCAAAACTCTTTTTTTTTATGAATTGCTAAGTCTTATTGCTAGGTCCAAGCTCATAGCCATGGGAGATAGTTGGAACTGTTGGCCCATTCATCCATCCCTTCAGCAAAGGTCTGTTGTGCCTAATACGAACATCTTGCTATGACAGAAACCCCAGAGGATCCCACAAAGTTGAATACACTGTCCCTGTACTCAAAGAGTTTATGATTGTAGATGGGTGGAGGAGGACTCAAGACAACATCTAAGCTCACATCTGAAGCTAAATACAATGTGACAGCTATTACAATATGAAGTTCCAAATGAGTCCAGAGAGAAGGAGAGATTCAGGCGTGTGCTGGAGCCAGCTTATGATACCTTCTTGAGAGCCAATTATTAAATTTCCAGGGTGAGCCTCCATGCTTCAGAAATCGGCAAACACTACAAATCAGGGCTTGATTTAATGTTTTGTTGATTGTCTAGACTTAAGAAAGCCATGGAGAAAATGCCAATTGTGCAGATTAAGCTTAAGAGTTGCAAATTTTCAGACAGCCTATAGTTAAAGATTTACCAGCACATCCCTGGAGAGATCACTGTGGTTGTCCACATTTGGGGTGAAAACTGGCTAGGCTAAGTGTCAAAACACTTAGAAGTTGTGCCTTAACCATACTATGATAGCACCTCACTTATCCAGAGGTCACTCAAGCTGTGTGGCACATTTGAGAGAGTGCTAGCTTTGGAGTCAGAGAACCTGAATTTGTTTCCTGACTCTGTTATTTACTGCTTGTGTAACCTTGAACAAATCACCTAACTCCTGTAGCCCTCAGTTTCCTTATCTGAAAAACGAGGGGGCTATACTGAATTTTCTCAAAGGTTGCTGCCAGCTCCATATTTGTGATTGTATTTGGAACACAGCCAAGATAATTCAGAACATAACCAAGAATCAGGAAGTAAGCAAAAAAGCCCTCTGGGCACACAAAACAGATGGCACAGAGTCCAAGACCTAAAGGTTTCTGTAGCTTATACATAGGAGTAACCCCACAAGCCCTTCCCATGAAATTGCACTTGAGCTAGATAGCTTTCCAACAAACTTGATTATCTAGTTTTTCAATCTACAGCAGTAAATTAGAGATGTGGAAGCTTCTGGAAATAGGATCAGCACCTAAGTGCTGTCCAAGGTCTAGCGTAGTCAAGAACTCAGGAGCAGCTGTCCAGTGCTGGAATCTCCAAGGGCTTTGACTAGAGGTCGCATATTTCTTTTGGTAGCTGCAGGCCATTAGCCTTGTCCTTCTGGTAGGCTTGCAGAGCTGCTTCTAGTGACCAGTGAGGAATTCAGGGCTCACTGGGTATAACAGCACTAACCAATTCCTAAGTTTTCTGGGAAGGCTACTTTCTTTCTTTTAAAAATGTTCATTTTTTTGCTGATACTTTTTATTGTTTCCTTTTGTAGAAGGTAAGCTCTTTGAGGACAGGAGCTAGACTTCTGTTTGTGCATCATCGGGACTAAGTTTACGTTCTACAAAGAGGAAACAATATATTCAAAAACAAATGATGAAATATGTGTGCAAAGCATGCAGTGATTTTGGGGAGGGCACCAGCAACTGAGGGAATCAGGAAAGGCTTGTCGGCTTTGCTTTTTGAGTTATGTTTGTACATGAAATATCTGTTATCTCTAGTTTCTTTCCATTCTCCCTAGTCAAAAGTGTTTCAGGATCAATTTTTAATCCTTTTTTTCCTCCCTCTTCTTTTTCTTTTAGACTAGACCTAGGATTTCAATAGTATAGGGAACTCCCAGTGTGGAAATTCCTGTTGCCAATGGAAATGAACCAGGGTGGTATAATGGAAGAGAGCCAGCTTTGGCGTCAGAGACTTTAGGTTTAAGTCCTGGCTCTGCCTTTTTCTAGCTGTGGGATCTTGCACAAGGCAGATCATCTTTCTGGGCCTCAGTTTCCCCAAGTGCAAAATGAGGGAGTTAGACTAGATCACTGGTGTCAAACTCAAATTAGAGAGGCCATTAAACCATCCATAAGGATCTCTGCAGGTACATGTGGACCTAGAAAACCACATTTTAACATTCTCTGTGTTTTGCTGTATTTCTATTTATTCTGTTAAATATTTCCCAAGAACATTTTAATCTGGTCCAGGCCACACTTGGCAGTATTAGCGACTGCATAGGGCCCTTTGGTTAAGTGTTGGACATCTCAGGATTAGCTGGTCCCTAAGTTCCCTTCTAGCTCTAAGGCTATGATTCTAAGGATTCGTAGTTTTTGCAAGATGCCTGGGACACCTAAAAGGGTTAAGTGACTTTTCCATTGTTACACACACAGCTAATATGGGTTCAACCCAGGTCATCCTGACTCCTAGACAGGCTCTCATGCCACAGAGCAATAGAGAACATGGGGGCAGACACAAAAGGCACCTCAGGGACATATATCATAATCCTCCCAATGATGAGGGAGAAGGAAGAATACCACACATGAGATTTCCTTGGTATGAGGAACCCCAAGGTGGTGAAACTTCCTCCACCAATGCAGGCAGCACCTCAATAGCTAATACTCTTAGAGAGTTGTCTAGAACCTTGAGAGATTGATTAGCTCAGTCACAGACCCAGAATGCATCAGAGGTGGGGTCTTCCTGGCTTCAAAGCAAGCCCTCTAGCCACTTAGCCATGCTGTCTCTCTTTGAACCTTCCCCTCAACCCTTTCTATGCCTTTCCTAGGTGGAGGGTAATCAGAAGAGTACATGAACACACAGGGGACTAATTTTAGCTGCATTGAAATCTCTTTTCCCTTCCTCCTTTCCAGGATTCAGATTACGTTCTACGAAAAATGATGTACTTGGACAATAAAAGACATATGTTAATCTTCGCCTCTCCCGCCATCCTCCACAGAAGGGAGAATCTGTTCAGGTATGTAGATGAGACTCTCATGGCTCCAGAGGGTTATTAGAATATCAGGAACACTTCACAATAGGAAGCCAGCCCCGCAATGATGCTTTGGAGGATCAACTCTACTGGCTGGATCAGGGTGTGGGTGGGTAGACTCTTCTATTTCATTCATCCCCAAACAGCCAGAAGGTGGCACCTGCCACCCATGACAAGTAAAGGAACAACCGAGGAAATCTTCCCAAGAGTCTTCCTGAGATTTTCTTGATTGAGTAGAAATCCAATCAAAAGCTAGTCTGACTACAGGAGCCATTAACCTGATTCACTTAACAGAATGGATCTGCTAATTAATGTAGGTGCCCTCTGAACACATGTTCTCATGTTTCGTGTTTGGATCGGGAGAAGAGGAGGCTATTTATTGACTCTAACACACTTTGAAATTGCTTTAAAGTAGTGTTACCTGTGGAACACCAAGGGGCATCAATTAGATACGGACCCCTGCAAAAGGCTGCTATAGAAAGCCAGCTATCTTGAGTAATAGCATAGGTATGGACTAGTGATTTCATTGACATAAGGAAGTCCAGGGGCAGGGGGCTTCCTCTACCAATACAGGTTGGAAACTCCTTTGCAACTTAGTCTTAGGGAGTAACTGCCTGGGGCACCAAATGGTTAGGTGACTTGCCCAGGGTCACACAGCCAGTGTGCCTTAGAGAAAGGGCTAAACCCCAGGTCTTCCTGGCTCCAAGGCTAAGTCTCCATCTACCATGCCATCTTGTCCCTCTTCAAGTCAAGATTGTCTTCAGCAGTATCATGAGCTAATATTTATTAAGTCCCTACTAAATGCATGTAATGGATAGAGAACTTGCATTGGAGTCAAGAAGATGAAGTCAGGTCCTGCACATATTGACTGTATTGCAAAGAAGCTTTGATAAAGTGAATTTTCTAACCTGGGAACTCCCAGCACTGATAAAACCCCAGGTCCAGTGAAAGAACTGGTTTTGTTCTAGGATTTGGGAAGGATGAGATTACGTAGGACACTATCCCTGGTTTCCTGTACTTCACAGTTTGGCAGTAGTGTTTGGCACAAGTAACTACTATACAACATAATACAGGATAAGTGTGTAAGGGAGATATAAGCAAAATGTTAAGGGGAAAAGGATAGGCAGGAAAGCATAAGAAAGAAGATGGCATTTGAACTGGGCCTTAAAGAGTAGGGAAGTGGGGAAGTTTGCAATGGTGGAGATGAGAGAGGATGACCCTCCAGGTACAGAGGTAATGAGAGAAAAGGCATGCAGAGGGGTGGGCACTAGATGCACATAGGTGGCTGCCCTTGGAGTCAAGAACACCTGGGTTCAAATCCTGCCTCAGACACTAGCTTTGTTACCCAGGGCAAGTCACTTTACCTCTCTGCCTCAGTTTCCTCATCTGTAAAATGAGGGGGTTGGACTTGTCCTCTCAGGTCCTTTCCAGCTCTAAGTCTATGGTCCTATGATGGTAGGTAGTCCAGTTGGAGTGGAGCCAAGTGGGTGCAGCAAGAAGTACAGAGAACCTTTATTCAGGAGTCAGTAAAGACCCACTGAAGAGTTTTAATGTGAAAATGGACACAATCTGGTTTGTTCAGGAGCAAGATAGTTCTGGCAGTAATATGAAGACTAGGTTGAAGGGGGAAGAGAGTGGAAGCAGGAAGACCGATTAGCTGTGTGTCCCTAGACAAATTACTTAGCTCTGTGCCTCAGTTTCCCCATCTGTTAAAATCTGTTAAAATTGGACTCCACAGCTTCTAAGGTCCCTTCTAGCTGAAAGTCTATGACCTTGTGATGATGAGATGGGAGGTAGTGAGGGTCTAGACCAAAAATAACAATAGTAATGAAAATAACAGATAAAATTTACATAGCTCTTTAAGGTTTGCTTCAAAGGACTTTACGTGTGTTATTTCATTTGAGCTTCACAACATTCCTGTGAACTAGGTGTTATTATTATCTCCATTTCACAGATAAGGAAACTGAGGCTAAGAAAGAGGAAGTTACTTGGGTCACATAGCTAATAAGTGTCTGAGGCAGGGTTCAAACTCACATCTTCCTGACCCTCTATCCACTATGTCATCAACTGTCTCTGAGATGGTGGCAGTGGGCCTGTGGTGGAGAGGACTGATAGAGGGATGGCAGAGGCAGAAAAAGGAGAGGCTGACAGTGATTTATGGGGGGAAAGAGAGGAGAAATAGAGAAATAGAAGCTAATGGCAAGGTCCTGTAAACAAGGGTGACTTAATGAATCATGGAACCACTGATTAAAACTGAGTAGTCAGAAAGGGACGCTGGTTTGGGGAGAAAGAAGAGACACTTGATTTGGGGTGTATTGAGTCTGATATGCTACTGAGACAACTGAGTGGAGATGGCCTATCAATAGGCAGTTTGACATGTGGGCAGGACGTTTGGGGAAAAGGTCTGTGTAGCAATCTGGGTAGAAATGCAGCATGGGATGCTGAAAAGAACAGTGACTTTAGAATCAGAGGACCTGGGTTCAAATCTCAAATGTCCATCACTCACTGTTGTGTGCCCCACTACCTTTGGGCAAAACTGATTGGGCAAATCAGTTTTCTCATCTGTAAAACGGGGTATTTATTGCCTTCAAGATCCTTTCCAGCTCCAAATCTAGGCCCCTGTGATCCTAGAAAGTTTCTGAAGCAATGGAGTGAATGAAATCACTCCAAGGAAGAGAGGAGAAGGAAAGAGGGCTGAAGAGGATCAAACCTTAAAGAACACCAAGGAGTCAGCAAGAAGAACTGAACTGATGGAGAGACAAGCAGTTAGAAAAGTCAGAGGAAATCAATTACTAAGCATTTAGTAAGCACCAACAGTGTGCCTTCATGTAGGTTAGGTTCTATTTCTAATTTAACAATGATTTAAAAAAAAACTTTAAACTTAACAAACACCAAATAAAATGAGTGTTTCTATTTCTACTGTAGAACAGGAGGGAGTCATACATGAAACTCTAACTCTGTCTTTGTAGAGCTTATTTTCTTACCAAGCAGGAAATACATTCAGCATAGGACTTTCAAAGCTGTCTTGTTTGTCTGTGATCCCTTCTGGCCTCTCTTCCTTTTTTTTTTTTTAAACTTGTTTGGGAACCTTATTCCTAGTCTCCCTCTTTGTTCTATTTCCCTTCATGTTCTATTTTCAGATGAGGAAATTGAAATTCAGAGAGGCTAATCTGCCAAAGTGATACAGGTTATATGCTTATACTCTAGGAAAACCAGGAAAGTGTAACAGCTCAGAAGCCAAGGGAGCAGAGACGGTACTTAGAAGGAGGGAGAGGGGCAACAGTATTAGGATAGAAAAGAGCTAAGAGGATGAGGGCCCCCCAAAAATCAGCCTTGTTGTAGTAGATGGAGGCAGAAAACAGATTTCAAGGGAGTTAATGGGTGATGAGCTGATGAGACATTAGGTGTAGACAGAACCCTCTCTGTTCTTTATTTAAGGAAATGTTCAGATTTGTTGATGTTTTTCAAGCTTATGTAATAATAAAAATAATACATTTATATATGTGTGTATATATGTGTATATATATATACATACATATTACATATATGTGTGTATATACACACACAATGAGAATTCCTAAATTCTTTCTGAAAGTTTGGCAGTAAAAGGGAGGGACTATTACAGAAGGAATAAAAGACCTATTTAGTGTTGCTGTGGGTCAGCATTAATATTGCTATGGACCCGTAGACCTTCCACTTCCATATTTAGGCACACAGGTTGCTTTTGTCTAAATACAAATATTTTATTACTACTGGAGTTGTTGTTATAAACTCCAAAGTCATGCAAAGAGCTGCCATCTTGATACAGACATACGCACGTGGAGTTAGAGAGGAATCTACTAACAAGCATTCATGAAGCACTTACTACATGCTGTCAGAGCAGCTAGGCGGCGCGGGGGAAGGCACTTTCAGCTGAAGGGGATTGGGAAAGACTTTCTGAATATGCTATTTAAGCTGAGAAATGGAGGAAACTGGGGCAACCAAGAGGTGGAGATGAAAAGAGAAGGTATGCTAGGTATAGGGCACAGGCAGAGAGTCAAAAGGCCTGCAGATGGAAGGTAGAGTGTTGTGTGGGAGCAGCTACCATGAGAAGTCTAAAATGTATTTAATGTTTTTTTAAACCAAGCTGTTTATAACAGTGATTCATCACATCATATAGAACCCTCTCACTTCTTTACTTAAGGAAATGTTCATATTTGTTGATGTTTTTCCAACTCATATAATAATAAAAATAATCCATTTAAAGTATATATACAGTGAGAACTCCCAAATTTTTATAAATTTTATTAATACCTTTTGTTTTTACAGCACAGTAATATCTCCTGTGTAATGAAGAAAACCAGTGACACAAATCTGAATGATACAGTGTCTACATCTGACTGTATATAGAAGGGAGAAAATAAGCATTTATTAAGCCCCTACTCTGTGCCAGGCACTGCATATATAACATTATACACCTGTAGTCCCCCACCTCTCTTCTGAAAGAGCATGTGCTTCCTCATAAGAGTTACAAAATTATTGTTTATACTCTTTGACCCAGTGATCAAACTATTATAACTATACTTTATGGGTGTTATCAAAAGGACAAAAAGTCCTCTTGGTATGAAAATATTCCTGACATCATTATTCATTATAGCAAAAAAATGAAAATAGCTCATGTATCCAATCTTTGGGCCATAGTTTCACAAAAAGGGGATAAAAATGTATGCCGTATGAGATAATGGGATGGATAGAAGCCCAACTTTAAAATCCTGAAGACCCGGGTTCAGATCTTGCCTTGAGAGAGAGAGAACAGGTGTATTTGTGTCTATGCTTTTCAGTGACGATGCAAAGAAGCAGCGTCTATCATGTCTTGGATGTGTTCAACATTTTATCACTGTTGGACTGAGGCTTCAGAAGGGAATTGTAGTGCCTCTGCCATATTATGTAACTATTCTAGTAGATGGCTGTCAATAGGATGAGGTGATGTCACACTCTTCTGTTCTGTTTCAGAGACTATATCTTTAGAAGCATAGACACCTCTGAGGTTATTTTCACCTATGCCCTTGGGAACTATCATGTAGTTGTTCCAATTCGAGACAGAAAGGGCCAGGCACTGGGGTTGCTTGATTTCACCACTGCACAGAAGAAGATGTTGTCAGTTCAGGAGTACAAAGATCTACAGAAAATGTTGAAGATAGTCCAAGAAGCCTGCAATGAAATACTAGGCGAATGCTCTGGAAAAATCCAGAAAAAATATGTCCTAGGTAGGTATGGCACTTGAAGAGACACTCTAGAGTCCTAGATCAATGGATTCTGCAGGAATTAGACATGGGGGAATCTGAGATCCCAGCTCACCACTTACTGACTTATTGTGACCTTGGGCACATTACTTCCTCATGCAGGCTTTTACACTAGATGACCCCTAAGATGTCTTCCAGATCTAAATCTATGAATTTGTTTTTTCCTTGAAAGAGAAAATTCCAAGTATGACATGCCCAGGACCCCCAGCGCCACCCCTGATTCAAGAAAGGTGGCATGTGTCACTGAGCAGGTATTTGTTATGAAACTCCCACGAGAGATGTCTTCTTCTGATTGCAGAGATGGAACACAAGGGAGAAGTACAAAGAGCTGGCGTTCTCTTCTTGCACATCATGCTGAAAGAGGTCCAGGGGAGGATCCGCGAGCTCAATCCTCAGGCCTTCCAAGAGCTGAAATATTATTATGATCAATTTTTGCCTATGATGTACGACCCCCCACTCATTGGAAAGGGTCCTCCCAAGCCTCATACTTTGGTCCATGACATCCTAAAAACAATACTGTTGATCCTTCATCCAGAGTGGGAGAATACAGAGACTGTCGAGGACTGGGGTCAGTGTAAAGAGGTGAGCCCTAGAGTCATGGATTTTGCTGTTATGGACTGATAGTGGTCTGTCATCCTCTCATCTTTCTGCTCTCTGTTTGCAGCACATTACCAATGACTTAATTGCCAGCCTTTGCATCTTTGATCCCACTACAGAAAATGTCAAAGTTGATCCAGATCTCATTTCTAAATTTACCAAAGGTAAATAACCTTCATTCTCTTTCTGAAACTTTAGTAACAGCAATACAACCCAATCGCAATTGAGGGACTTGGGGTGGAGTTAGGCGAGAAGGGAAGTGTGGCTAGGTGGCGCCACGGTGCATAGAATGTCCAGTCTGGAATCCGGAAGGCTCATCTTCCGAGTTCAAATTAGGCTTCAAACACTTACTAGCTGTGTGGCCCTGGGCAAGTCATTTAACCCTATTTGCCTCAGTTTCCTCATGTGTAAAATGAGCTGGCGAAGGAAATGGCAAATCACTCCAGCATCTTTGCCAAGAAAATCCCAAATGAGGTCACAGTCAGACACAACTGAAATGACTGAACAACAAAAAACAGATGAGATTGATTGAGACAAGGAAAATGATTGAGAGGGTTGGGGAAGGCGGGGGGAGGATCAATCTTTGCATCAGATATCCTCGATAAAAGCCCAATATCCAAGATGTGTAGGGAACTAACCTAAATGCACAAGACCAAGAGTCATTTCCTACTGGAAAGCGGTCAAAGGACACGGACAAACGAGTCTCAAAAGAACTACGGACTCTAAATAATCATGTGAAAGAATGCTCCAGATGAGTGAGAATAAGAGAAGTGCACATTAAAGCACCTCCGAGAACTGGTACAGCTGAGGAAAGACAGGAAGGAGGCAATCTCATACAGCTCCACTAGCATTTGTTTGTACTGAACATTGATCCCCGTCTTCTGCAAGAAGCCCTTCTGCTTCCCCCCATTGCCGCTGCCGGTGACTTCTCTCCGAGATCTTCGACAGTTCCCTCATCTATGTCGTGGGCGTCCGCAGCTGTCTGTATGTTCTCTCCCCATCAGGATGCAAGCTCCTTGAGGACAAGGGATGTTTTCGTCCTTCTTTGAATCTCCAGCACTTAGCACAGTGCCTTGAATGGGCATGGTGAACAATAAGTGCCTGACTGCCTGGTTCTACCTCATGCTGTGCTAGGTGCTGGACATACCAGACAAACAAAAAACCCCGAAACAACAAACCCAGTCCCTGCCCCATGGAACTCCTGTCTTATGTAGGGGAAACAACATGTACACAGATAAGGAGATTCAAGTTGCCTGTAAAATCAATCTTAGCTATTTATTTAATGGGGAAGCACTAACAACTCAGGAGATGAGGAAGTGATGCCAGCTGAGCCCTGAAGGGATCTAGGAGCTCTGTGGGGCAGAGGTGAGGAGGGCGAGCATCTCTGGTATGAGGGAGCCCTGGGCAAAGGAGGAGACGGAACATTGTAGACAGTGATGACCATGTGAAAGAGTGCTGCCTTTTGGTATTGCTGCAGTCTGCATGAGCTTGTGAGGCTGGAAGGGAGAGGATCTGAAGGACAGTCGCGTGTGATCATCTTAGATTGTGAAGGAAGGGCTATAGATGTCACGCAGAGGCGTTTGTAGTCAGTCCTCTAACAAAGGCAGGATGAGGATTGGGGCTGAGATCTGGCCTGGATTCAGGGCCAGGGCGTTACAGGGAAGAGATCCCTCCTTGACTGTGGGAGGAGAGAGGCCAAATCCAGAGGTGCTGAGGTCCAAGGTGAAACACTCCACCATATCCCTACCTAGGTGGCTCCTTTCAACTATCCCAAGAAGTTAGTTGGGGGAAAAACCCTACAGTTTTTCATATTATCCACTCCTTGAGAAGAATGTCTGCTCTAAATGACCTTAGCCTTAGCTCCATGTGTGGATGGTATGGCTGATGCTGCAAACTCCATCAGCTTTCACAAGTGCCTTGCTTGAGAAGCTTAGAAGTCACTGAGTCGAATACTCTCATCTTACCGATGAGGAAACAAACCTAAGGAATTGAAGGGATGTGTTCAAGGCCACAGAAGCATAGAGGCAGAGCTGAGATTCCAACTCAGTCTTCTGCTCTAACCTACTGCTCAATAAAAATTAATTACTGAGTACATTCATACACTTGAGGAAAATCTCAATACCCTGTAAGCTCATAGAGTCTTTGATACTGGGAGGGGGTGGTGGGGTGTGGCTTAGAGACCATCCAGGCCAGTTCCCTCACTTTACAATTGAGGAAACTAAGGCCCAGATAGGAAATGCCTTTCCTCAAGGACATGTTGAGAGCTGAGAACTAGAGGCAGTCCAGGTCTCCTGATTCCTGGGTCAGCAGTCTTTTTGCTAGACCATGCTTCCTCTAAGATTACTCAAAAGGCTAGTACAATCTGGATTCAGAGGCAGTTTTCTGATGGAAATATAACAATTAGCATTCTCTCTCTCTGTCCCTGTCTCTCTTTCTCTCTCTGTCTGTCTCTGTGTCTCTGTCTGTCTGTCTGTCTCTCTCTCTCTCTCTCTGACTCGCTCTCTCTCTTTCTCTTGAGACTGAGTCTCCCTATCTCATCTAGGTTGGAAATCAGTTGTGGACTGGTCCCACCACTACTCATTATGATGGCTTTGACCTATTCCTTTCCTGACTCGGGCTAGTTTATCCCTCCTCTGGAAGTCTGGTAGTGTCCTGCTTCCCAGAGCTTGCCATAATGGTGCTAGAATTAGTGTATCTACCTGATCAGCTTGGCCCTACTGCAGATCAGAATCCCTGAGCTCGAGCTATCTTTCAGCTTCAGCCTCCCCAGTGGCTGTGCTACAACTGGCGTTCTGATTGGTGAATCTGGGACATCTACAATCCAGCTAGAAGCTGAGGATGAGTCACCTATTCTCTGTCCTTTCTAAGGGAATGGGACAAGTCACTTTGCAGTAGCTTTCCACTTAAAGATCAGGACACCAAGGTTAGTTGTTTCACCCAAGGCCATCTTACCAACAAGGGCCAATCAACCAATCAACAAACATTAATTAAGCACCTACTTTGTGCCATAAACTGTTAGGTCCTAAGGATAAAAAGACAAAAATGAAACAGTCCCAGCCTTCAGTGAGCTTACATTCTAATGACATTAAAATTGTCCAAAGATTCATTGATAGGTACTTATCAAGGCACAGAGATATTTTAATAACCAGTTTCTCATATGCTCAGAGCACAGACTCGTAGTATAGAGAAACCAGTGGGCCCTGAGCAGCTGTTTCAGCAAATTTATATAGGTTGTTAGTTACATCAGGTTACAGTTAACATGGAATTTTATAAAAGGCAGAAGAGGAAGGCAAAGACTTATACATCAAAGAACAGATAGCAGAAGGGGAAGATCTAGATCAGGTAAAATAATAAACTAGTCAGTAAACCAAGGGGGAAAGCTGGAATGCACAGACTAGCCATTATAGACTAAACTATAGCTAGTTACTTGACATTGTCATCTTAAGTAAATGGAGGTAATAAAGCTGAGCCAGAAGTTCTCTTATCACTAACCAGTTAGTCACTGCAACTAAAATGTCAGTTGAACACTCAAGTTAGTTGTGTGCCTCACTACCTTAAGGAAATGGTGTCAATACAGCCAAACCAGAAGAATTCTCCCATCAAGAGAGATATATCCATCTATATGTATGAAACACAGGATAGGAACTAGGTTTATGATTTCACTGATAGAGAGAACTCCCATGCGAGAAAACTCTCTCTACCAAAGCAGGTCAGCACACAGTTCTTTGCAATATATAGTCTCTGAGAGTTGCCTAGAGCTTTGAGACTTTAATCGATTTGCCCAGATGCTCACACTTTATGAGGTGGGGCTTGTACTCAGGAGCTCCTTGCTTCAAAGTCAGTCATCTGTACTTCCTCTTTGTACCTGTGCACATAAAATATATACCAAATAAATACAAGTGCCTTCCGGTCTCACCCATCAATAACCAGCAGCTGTTGTGTGAAATCAGTCATCCAAACCAGCCACTCTTTTTGTTGAGGACAGGTTATTAATGACTAGAAAACCCAAGTGTTTGTATTCCTGATCTCTTGCTGGCAGCAAAGGCAAGGATCATTCCTGTTGACTTGGACTTCTGAAGCTTACTGACAAGAGCCTAACTAATTAAGAGAAGCAAATACTGTTTCCCTTGTGTAGAGAACACTGCTGCTCTTGGACCCTCTTCTGGACTAGTTTAAAGTCCATTGAGTTGGTAGAATTTTCTACTTTCCTTTAAGTCTTTATTTTGAGGCTATCTGGTCACACACACATTTTCCAGTTCAATGAGAATAAGAAAATCTTTTAATAAGCATTGTTCATCCTACTAGTATGTGTTTTTACATGAAATTAATGAATTTATTTGATAAGAAAAAAACTACATGGACTTCAGTCCTAATTTGAGTCAAAGCTATATAGCATGAGGAAAAACCAATACAACCAGCTGATTTCATCCTGGAATTATATCTGCCAGGGATAAGCTGGTGATCCCCCAGAGTTCAACCTGAGCTAGGTTTCCATCCTGTCCCTCACTCCATAATTTACCTTAAGGGTTTTTTTTTCAATTTGGAGCTTTGAGGAGCCTTTTTTGTTTTGTTCTATCTATATCAGCTAGATTTAATACCCCAACTATTAAATGTGACTAGCTTAGACAGCTTAGTATGCTTCCCTCTTGTCAGCAGAGAGGTGGTGGGCCACTGCTGTGGAATGATGCATAGATTGTCAAACCTGGTGAAAGTGCTGATTTGTTTTGCTTAATTGTATTTTGTTAAAAAGGAAAGTTCTTTGGAGATCAGAGAGGGAGTCATAAGGAAATGACACTGATTTTTTTTTAAAGAATGAAACATTTTATTTTGGGATTTTTTTTTCAGTTTTTCTTTTTTTAAATTTAGTATTTTATTTTTCCCTAGTTACATGTAAAAACAATTTTTAACATTTTGTTTTCAAAACTTTGGGTTCCAAATTTCTCCCTTCCTCCCTCCCCCCCCATGAGAAGGCAAGCAATTCAATATAGTTTATATATGTGCAGTCTTGCAAAACATTTCTGTAATAGTGATGTTCTGAAAGAAAATGTAGACCAAAAAAAAAAAAACCTCAAGAAAAAGAAAGTTAAAAAGTATGCTTCAATCTGTATTCAGACATTATCAATCTTTCTCTGCTATCCATCCCCAGAGAAAGAATTGGTAGTGTCTGAATATAGATTGAAGCATCACAAGTCTTTCACAGTTGTCTTCGATTGTTGTACTGCTAAGTCATTCATTGCTGATCATCTTACAATATTGCTGTTACTTTGTACACAGAACATTTCACTTTACATCAGCTCATGTAAATGTTTCCAGGTATTTCTGAGAGCATCCTGCTCATCTCAACGAAACATTTTAAAAGAAAAAACCTTAACTAGTCTTGTTTAGTACAGAAATTAGGATTTCTCATAAATGGACTTTTAATTCAACACTTCCGATTACAGCCTGATGTATTTCTAAAAGAGTGATTTCTATGTTGGACGGGGAAAGGAGTCATTAGAAAGTTATTGTGGTTAAAAAAAAGAAGCAAAGGGGGCATCAATGAAACATTTTTAAAAATAGACTTTTAATTAAAGATCTCCAATGTAGGCCCGTGTTTCAGAAAAATGACTACCTTGTGTAATTAAAATTTGCATCAAACTAGAAAGTATTTTTAAAAATCAACAATCAATCAACAAGTCTTTATTAAGTGGCTAGAAGGTGCCAGGCAGTCTGCTAAGCTCTGGGGATACAAGTGCAAAGAATGATACCTACTCTCTGGGAGTTTACATCCTAACGAAGGAGACAAGAAGTGCCTATAAAAATAAATGCAGAATAAATATAAAATTAACAAATGTGTATTTTATATACATACACACAAAGTAATTAAATACTAGGTAGTTTGCAAGGGAGGCAGGGCAGTAGCTGCTGGGGAATGGGAAAGTCTTCATGCAGATGATGGCACTTAAGCAGAGTCAGAGAGGAAGGGAGAGATCTTCAGGAAGAGGTAATGAGGGAGTGCCTACCAGCTACAGGGGATGGTCCAGGCAAAGGCAGGAAGACAGGAGATGCAGCTTTGTGAATAAGTAATAAAGGATGGCTTGGCTGGATCACACAATACAAGAGGAGTAATGTCCAAAACAAGTCAATAAAATGATCTAGGAGGACCATTTTATTTTCGAGGCTGACAAAATAAAGTCAGAAGTTTTGGATGACAGCTTTTCTCTATTAGTAAGTTCCTCCAGGAATGAATTTGATTTAAAATCTTAAAGGAAGTAAAAGCCAGATTGAGCAGTGTGCTAAAGAAACAAAACCATCTTATGCATTGAAAAGAGAGTGTTTAGAGCCAACAGATCACTGGAAAATGGTGCTGTCTTCTGGTCACTGGCCCTCAGTCTGAAGCCACATGAAAAGAATGCACTGGACTCCTATATCTCTCACCCTGGAGTTGCCACTTGGGCCCTAAAGAGCTCCCAGGAGCAGAAAGGAAAGCGATTGGCTGCTTCATTACCAAGGCCATGGATGCGGCTGGTTGTTCAGCTGTGCTTGGAAAGAACCTGGAGCGTCTGTTCCGCCTAACAATAGCATCGGAAATAAGAAATGGGACCTTGAGGAAAGGAAAACTTTGTTCACCTCCTCCCACTGAACTGCTAGGGAGGTAGTAGAGGAGCTTAATAATAAATGCACACGTGGGCTGCCTTCATTCCAAAGGTCAGAGAGGACCCCTGCCCTCGCCCTACCTCAGAGGCTTCAGTGGAACACAGCTGCTAAAAAGACACCAAGGAGGGCAAAGGAAAAGCGGCGGGTACTAATGAGGCATGACTGCCTTAGAAAGCTAGGATTGGCTTTTTGAAATGTTTCCAGAAGAGGAATTGTATAGATTCATTGATTCCTACCACTTGATGATTTTATTTTTATTTTTGGACCAAATTTGTGATTTCATTGACATAGGGAATCCCCTTTACCAATGCGGAAGGGAGTTGCCTGGGGGCCACTGAGAATTTCAGGATCTTAGCTAAGTGTCACATACCGGGACATGTCAGAGGCAGACTTGAATCCATTTTCCTAACCTTAAGGCTGGCTCTCTGTCCATTACACCAAGCTGCTTCTCACCAGGTAATTTGGTAGCATGTGATAGAGATAGCCTAGGAATGTGGGCTAATTTATACCATTAATTCTGTAAAAGGACAAGAGAATAAGGGGTGTGGATTACCTGATCCCATTTCACTCTCAGATATTGAAGTGCAGGAGTGGACCCAACTGGCTAAAAGGACTGCAATGAAATGAGTAGAATCTAGGTTTTAAATCTGGATGGGAGCTCATAGGATTATAGCATCTGTTTTTGGTTTTAGATCCATTTCCTAAATGGACATGGAAAGGAGTTAGAAAAATGTACCTTCGTGGGTGAAGAATATCAAGGGGGAAAAAACCCAGCAACAACAACCCAAAACCATGGTTGAGTACTTACGAAAGTCAAATAGAAATCTGGAACATTTGAGGTCATTCTGGGGAAATGAACATACTCAGTTTGTTCCTGTCCCCACCTGCTGTCCTTTGATCATGGAAAAAACAAACTCTGAGTGTGTGAGTGAGAGTGTGTGTGTGTGTGTGTGTGTGTGTGTGTCTATGTTCAGAGGGAGAAAGAAACTAAGGATAGCCAAGGGGTTTCTTTATGTGTTTTTCACATTTTGTACCTATGCCTCTTTAATGACTCATTGTGGGGACACTCAGCACAGAGTACCATTAAAGGCATACCAAGGACAAACCTATAGGTCAAAATATCTTTTACCTTCCCTTTGTCAGAAGATAATACACAAAATCTTTTTTTTGGTCTAGCAATCATTCTAGTATATATCCAGATTCAACCGTTGCTGAGATATAACCTAGAAGTTTGCTAGAATTTTAAAAAATCAGTATTTTTATCGATGCTTTAAAAACTAGCATTCCCAGTGACTTGCTCATATATTCTTCCTCCCCATCCCCCAAAACCTTCCCTTATAATAAAGAAGGTTAAGCAAAACAAACTGACCCACTGGCCTTCTCTAACAAGGCATATCTCATTCTGCATCTGTCTCCCACTCTCTGCCATAAAGAGGAATCTATGGCAGTCTTCTGAAATCAAATCTGATCACTGAATTGATCAGAATTCTGAAAAAGACAGAATTTCAAACATCTGATTCTGTGGCAACCATAACTTTATAACTTATGGTTATTTTTCAGCTTTTACTGAATAGCTGTATCAGAAGATAATTTCAATCAATCAATCAATCAACAAACATATATTAAAGTGTTTATGAAGTGCCAAGTCCTTCGCTAGTTACTCGGGACACAAATAAGAAATGAAAATTGTCCCTTCCCTCAAAGAGCTTATATTCTAATGGGAGAGACAACATCTCAGAGAATTAGAAGGAAAGTAACTTTAGAGGCAAAGGGGTACAGCGGTGGGGAAGGGGTGCCTGGGAAAGGCTTCTTATGGAAGCTGTCATTTTAACTGAGTCTAAAAGGTAGAAGTACTAGTCAACTAGATGATGAAGGTAAAAACTTACAATGATTTTATTTTTAAACCGCCAAAGATTTAATCTGTGATCCCTCTACCCAGTCCACATTAAATGAGTAAGAGAGAAACCAGGACAAAGGATCTCAGCAACCCTGAAACAATCACCTCTGAGCAGGCCTTTTGGTTTGTTTTTGTGCAGGGAATCCCCGAAAAATCGTGTGGTTGCAGCAATCCATTGCCATCGAATACTTGTACCACTGGGCACTTACCTGCCTGTGTCTGATCGAGCTGAAATCTAAACTGGAGGGCAAATACGCTCCTCCTCTGCCCCCAGGAGAGATGGCCCCAAATAGACTGCAGGTCAGATTTTAGTAGACCAACCTTGAGCGGGGTGGGTAGAATAGTTAAAGAGCTTTTTTTCACTATGTTCAGCTTTCTTTGTTAGTTGTTAAGATATTTTCATCTAGAAAGAAGTGCTTCTAGATAAAGACTTCATTTCAAAGCCAAGTCAGAGGAAAGTCTTGGCCCTAGAAAGATCAAAGTTATAAAGCCAAATATCTCAGAATTCTGGCCTTTCTAACTCCTAAAGGGTGTCAGCATTGAAGGTTGGGCGGTATTTGTTTCATTTTTGTCATGGGAACGTAGGCAGAAAGGGAAAGACAAGGCTTAAGACTGTAAAAAGTCTGTAACTCTAAAACAGAATAATATATTGCCTGTTAGAAGAACTAGAACAGATGACTTTTAATTCTGATCAACTCCTAGTCGTTCTGACTCATGGCCCTTTGGCCATTGTAAAGTCATGTTAACTAGAAAGTCTTGTGGAAAGAGCATCTTTGTCTCTTACTCATGGGAAAAAGCCAACACCTTTGTTTCAGAGGGCCCCGCCTAGCTCAAGAACAGCAGAAAGATTTTTACTTGTTTAAAGTGTGATTCCAGCAAACTTTGCTGCTTGGCGGTGAGATTCCATCTTTGTAATAATGTATCTGATGGCAGAGTCCATTTTTTAATAAAATTTTGGGAAATTAAAAGTTCTTTTTCTTTATTCAGTTGACAAAGTGTGATGTCTTCCAAATACTTTGTAATTTGAGATTGGAGGTTCCTTTTTAACCTTTTCTGATAAGATGGCAGCATTATTACCAGGCCCGATCTCAATGGATTATCAGATGCCTGGCTTAACCCGAAAGCCTGTTTCATATTTGAGAGAAAGCATCTCAGGTCATTCGCCACAACGTTTCTAGGAACAATGTTCTTAAAGATATTAAACTGATAGCCACAAGCCAGATCTCTTTGGAACATGCTTATGAAGAGTACTCCAAAAATACAAATGACTTTTTGAGCAGTCTGGAGGGGAAGACGTAATGGAGGGCTAAATTTTGTACTTGGGAAAAGAGGCAGAATAGATAGAGAGCTGACCTCACAACTAGGAAGACCTGGGTTCCAGTTCCATTGTAATACTTACTGATTGCATGGTCCTGAGCAAGGCAGCTGGCAAGTTCTCTATGCAGCTCTAAAACTCTAAGTGGAAACGCCCACCTGCATCGATAGAGGGCTATTTCTCACCTAGGCCTTCCCTGTACCAATGAAAGCCCAGGCCCAGGCCCTATCCCAACTTGGGAAAGGTGTAGCATTACCTGAAGGGTGTGTCCCACTTGGGTGCTTCTCAATCAACTCACCAGGATGAGATCAATAGGAAAAAAAATAGACAAAATGATAGACAGTGTTTGTTCTTCTAAATCTCCTGGAGATCCATGAGTTGCCAATGAAGATAATTCACTTGGATATATAATAGACAAGAAGTTACTTCAGAGGCCCAGACCTGGGTAATTGACCTAAAACTATTTTTGAACAAGTCGGAGTCTGCTAATTATGATCCACCAAAATTAAGACCAGAATACTGTTATGGATATTCTAAATCATTTCCGTACACCACTTCCTCCCCAAAAGCCCTCAATCTAACCCAGCCTTGATCCATGCCAGAGAAATTTGTCTCCCACTTTACTCAGAAAAATCAGGGTTCTCTAATGCAAAATTCCTCATTTTTCCTCTTCTTCCCATTGACATCTCAATCTCTTCCTATCTTTTCTTTTCCATTTATCTCAGGAAGGGATATTGGATCTAATCTAGAAGACCTGGGTTCGAGTTTTGGTTCTTGCCAGCTTGGACAAGTCCCTTGACTCCTCTGATAAACTGAAGGCTATCCAGAGGAGAACAAATAGTATTGGGGGGGGCAGGGTCTCAAGACCACACCGCTTAAGGACCAGTTGAAGGAGCAAGTCTAAGATTTAGAAGAGAAAACTTGGGGGAGAGGAGGAGATAATAACTATTTCCAAGTATTTGTGACCCAGAAGACAAGACAGTACTCTGGATAGGGTCTGACAAGGACCAATTTAGCGAAAACTACCACCTTGTCTTGGAAAAGATTCCTCTCAATACAGCCAAAAACAGCATTAGCTTTTTTTTAAAAATTTTATTTTGTTCTAAACTTTACAAACAACTCCCAAAATGGGCATTTCCATATACATAGTAGAATAGAAAAAGAGGCTTGTACATAAAACTGCAGGTCTCTCCTGCACAGTTTACTTTTTTTTTTTTTAATGTACATATTAAGTTCAACCTATAGCTTTCAAAGCTTTCCTGTTTGTCTGTGTTTCTTTCTGGCCTTCCCTCCATTTTCTACATTAAAAAAATGCCTCAGTGACTGCCTTCCTTCCCTCCTTCCTTTCTCTCTTTCTCTCTCTCTCTCTCTCTCTCTCTCTCTCTCTCTCTCTCTCTCTCCTCTCTCTCTCTTTCAGTCTATCCTTACCCCCCTCACCCTCCCATTCTACTCTACTCCCCAGTGGAAAAAAAAAAGCTCTTGTAACAAGTTACATTAGAATTTTTGGCTGCAATATCATACAGTTGACTCTTATTGACTGCAGTCCAATAAAACCCACACGTCTTTTTCAGACAAATAGGTATCTAGTCACACTTTTTCTATCGTGTACTTGTACACTAATTCCTATAAAATTTCATCTTCCTAGATTTATTAACTCAACGTTCAAGACTGTTGAGATTTTTTTGAATTCTGTCATCCTTCCAACTTTGGGTCATCTATAAAATTAATCGGCATGTCAACTATACCTTTATCTAAATAAATGGTTTAAAAAGTTAATAAAGCAAAACAAACAAAAAAAATATGGTACCATAGGAGTTCAGGGAAAAGAAAAATCATTTTAAGATGGGGGATTAGAGATATCAAGGAAGAGCCTAACAGAGACAACATGAGGCAGTGGATAGAGAGCTGACCCTGAAACCAAGAAGACCTGGTTTCAATGCTGCAGACCACTCTCAAACACTGTAAGTTGCAGAGAAGATGGCAGCCTGCATAGGTAGAGGAAGCTTCCTCACCTGGGAGTTCACTATAGCAATAAAATCACAGGTCCAACCCCTGTCGGTTGGAAGATAGTCAGGATTTCAATAGGCAGGGTTGAGGTGGGGAGAGACCATTTCTCTGGGTCCATCAGCCTTCTCAGTTCCCATGATTTCCATCTCTCGTCCACTTTAATAACTCACGGGGGTGGTCAAACCTCTTTAGGTCAAAACTAAAATAGCCTTACCTCCAAGACTTGAATGATAAAATCCTTCTCTGTGGTTCATTCATTAAACGAAACATTTTTAAAGCCCCTCCTTACTGTGTATAATGGACTGCTGCCAGGAACTTTGAGAATGCAACATTTCAATAACAAACAGTTCCTGCTCTCATGGATCTTATGTTCTGGTAGGAGGATTAGACATCAACGCAGAAAGCTACAGTACACAGTATTATATTGCAAGTGCATTAGAAAAGTGAACAAAGTTTTATGAGATGTTTGGGAGGAAAGGTCTTTACCAAAAAGAACATCTAAATTGGCTTTAAAGGAAGGCTAGGAATCCTAGAGTTAAGGAAGGGGGGGGCAGGATATTCTAGGAATGGGGGGAGGGGGTCATGAGTGAAGACATGGAGTGATGTTCAAGGGTAGAAGTGGGCAAGGAAAGAGCGTAGTATAGTTTTGTAACAGAGTGAGCAGAGGGGAGTAATATGAACTAAGAATGAAAAGATGGGCAAAAGGTGTGTCTGTACAAAGAAGTCCCTGAAGATTTGTGAGCAGAGAAGTACCATGGATAGCTCTAAGAACAAAGATCCTTCTGGCCACTATTTGAAAGACTGATCGTTGGGGGCGGGGCGCACCAAAGGTAGGGGGGAGAGTGAAGGCGAGAATAAAGGCTTTTAGACTTGTTAGGAGACTTGCAACAGTTTAGATGGGTGGTGATGAAGTCCAGTACTGGGGTGGCGGTAATGAGAACAGGACTTGGCAACTGATTAGATCACAGGATAATGGGGCTGTAGATTCAGAGCAACCAGGGACCTTGCAGGTCCTCTTGTGCAACCCCCTCATTTTAGAGGTGAGGAAACTGAGTCCTGGGAAAGTTAAAGTGACTTGGCAAAGGTAGAAAGTAACAAAGCCAGGATCCTACCACAAGTCTCCTGACCAAAAGCCTGTGTTTTTTCCACTACTATGAAGGAGGGGAAAGAGTCCCAGATAATAAATGGTAATGCTAAAAGCAAGGGCAATTGAGTGAATGGGGACGCCATAGAAAGAAACAGTGAAGTCAAAAGGAGTAGATCATAGGATCAAAGATCTGGAGCTGAGATTGAGCCTTTTGGACTGGCCCCGTTATTTAGCCAGGAAGGAAAAAGATCTTAAGCTTGACTTTGTCCAGCTTGAGTTGACCACGCCAATGGACATGTAGTTGGAGATTTCTTCAAGCAGTTCGAAAAGCGAATTTGGAGCTCAAAATGGAACTTGGGAAAGTAATCGATTTGGGAAGGAGGGAGATCACAAAGGGTGAGAAAAGAGAGGAGGAGGCCAAGGACAGATCCTTGGGGAGCACCCGAATTGAGGGGGTGGAAAAAAGACAAAAAGCCAACACAGGGGATGAACAGAGATTAGAGAAATGGGAAGACACCCTGAACAGTCTGGTGTCTCTGAAGCCAAAGGAGGACCCAACTCGTTTTAGAATTTCAAAGAAATTATTGATATTTTTGTTTTTTACATCACTTCATTTAATATATCCTCTTTCCCCTGCCTTTAAGTCTCTCTTTCAAATGAAGAATCAAAGACAGAGGAAAAAAGCAGTTCAGCAAAACTAGCTAACACACCCACCAAACCTGGCAGAACACACCAACACAGAAGGACCTGAATCACTTTACTCCAAATACTATCGTCTAAAAAAATGTACATACCTTAACTTAAAAATGCTTTCCTGCTTAAAAATAAAAAGCACTTTAAATTCCTTCAAGATGTAAACGTAAGGGAGACCAAAAAATGCGTGTGACTCGCATAATTGCGATCGCTTGAACCAGAAGAGCAGCGTCTCCGATATCTCCACGGCATGCCTGCGTATGATGTTACTTAATACGGTCTATATTTAACATGCACATAGATATTTAACGTCATACATACACACATAGTTAACATACTTTTACACACATGCATATTCGGTGTTATTGAGGAACGGCGGCATCAACCACGCGGGAATCAGGAAAGCAGGTGACCCTCGATTGGGCTTTGAGAATGGTTGGAAGCTCCGAAAAGCGGACGTGAGGCCAGGGTGGACGGACGGCAACGGGACACGGCCTGTGCAAAGGCGCCGGGGCGGGAGACGAACCGTCTCGTCCAGGGAATAGCAAGGAGGCCGTTCTTTTCCAGAATTAGGTCTAGAATCCGGGGCCAAGCCACCGTGAAAAAAGGGCTGAGGCTCAGGCGTCGGAGGACCTGGGTTCAAATCCCACCTCGGCCCCCGAAGGGATGTTGCACCTCACGTCGGTCGCTGAGACAACGCCTCGGGCCTCAGTTTCTTCATCTGTAAAATAACGTGGTCCTCTGGGGTCTTCTGCTCTGGACCAACGACCCGAGATCTCCGCCTTCGTGAACTTCACTGAGCCCGAGTCCTCGGACCTCCGACGGCGCCTTTCCTGCCGCCCAGCTCCAGGCGGCACTTTCGACAGACATTTTGTGACCTTAAAAAACGCCTCCAAACAAATAGTTGTTATTGTCTTTAAAAAAAAAAAAAAGAAAGAAAGCACCTCGGAGCTGTGGCGTCAGACCTCCGCCGCTGCAGCCCGCGGGAAGAAAGAAGGAGCCGACGGCGGCGGTGTGGAATCTGCGGACGCGGTGTGGAATCTGCGG